TATTAAATAGTTGATAACCAGAGATGAGCGTTAAGACCCAAGGTACCAGAAAGCTTACGTTAATTTCTTTCTGGGTCTCGTGGCAGCCATTCGGGAACGGTTGGCAGGTACGCTGTTGATGGCCCAGCAGTACCTGTGTATTTGTGACTCTGACCCCGACCCCGTTGCCTGGCTGACATGAAGCTAGTGTGTCACCCTGCAACATTTCGCACTTGGAGGATTCTCAGAAGCATAATTTTTTTCATTCTGCCCGAGTCATCACCAGAAAATGGAACAGCCAGATCCCGCAACTGACAACACTGACCCTGTTTACAGCACAGACGAGTGACAGCGTGGACCCGAGAGCCCCGGACACAGTGGGTGGGAAGAACCACCAGAGCTCCCAGGCCCGCCGTGATGTGCGGGGGCTTCCGGTGAATTTGGGATCAGGAGACCCCCGAGCGGCAGACAGGTGTTCCCAGGAGGAGACCACCGGCCGCTGCCTGGGTGCGGGGGCTGCGGTTAGGTGGGGGCCCCAGCCCAGCAGCCCTGGGAACTCTTACTGGCAGTTGGACACCTCGTGCTTTCTGCCAGGGCTGGAGGAGCACACAGGCCGAATAGGACAGGGCTGTTGAAACGAACGAGAAGGGACGGATAAAAGCGGGGAGGGAACGGTGTCCGGAAGCCTCAGAAAGCAAGAGGCCGAGTTTTTCACACTAACTAAAAGCAGCGTGGGAGGGAGCTCTGCTGTGTCTGAGGAGCTGTCCCAGTCCCTGCCTCTTCTAACAGGTCGGGGACCGTGTTGTCACCCACTGACAAGCACCAGCGAGGCATCGAGGCCAAATCCCATACTAAGGTTTAAGGAAAGGTGAATAAGGAGCAGAAAAACATCGTTGGCAATGAAAGCAAGAAACCAGAAAGAAACACCCAGAACAAGCTGGAAGACTTTTTTTTTAAGTAATAACAAGACATAAAAGAACAAAAAGTCAATTTAAAAAAAAAAAATCTCAAATGAGATGACAGATCTCAAGAAATATTTATCATAAAAGGTCATTTCAGAAATGAAGATTGAACTAGAAGCAACATGAGCAAACAGACCATGCCGTCAGAGAAATCGAAGGGGTAAACAAGACAATTTGAAAACATCACAAAGCAAGAAGAAAGGGGTTTGCACTGAAATGATAAGTTCCGAAGACTGGCAGAGATGATTCAATTGACAAGTAAGGGTCCCTGAAGGGGGAAAAATGGAAAGGAAAGGAGCAGATCCCCAAAACAGTAATTGAAGAAAAATTTCCTGCCGCTGTGAAGAAACGAAAAGGTGAAGCTATAAAGTCATACCTTGTGTCTCTGATATGTCAAGATATGTTTGGGTAAAATGACTGGACTTTCAAGACAATCTGTTGGGCATCTAGCTCTGTGCTGCTCAGTGCAGTGCGGTTGCCGCTGGCCATTTCTAGTGCTGGAAATGGATCGTGTGGATTGAACCTCACCGCTTGCAGGATTCTAATGACTTCGTATGAAAATAAATAAGTTGTCTCCTTGGTTTTTTTATGTTGTCCCACGTTGAAAACATTTTAGGTACGTTGCAGTAAATAAAACACATGTTTAAAATCTTACCTCTTTTTACTCTTTAATGTGGCTTCTAGAAAATTGGAAATTGCGTGCGCATGTTGTCTTTTTGGCCTGCGTTGATGTTCCGTTGGACAGCCTGGATCTGGAACTCCAGGCCCCTTCTGCCCCAGGGTCCCCGTTCTGTATCCGTAGGACCTCCCTAGATAGAATTTTCCTGTGAATAGTCCTTTTGACGCTTTCTCTTTCTCTCCATATGCTTAGAACCTATCTTTTTGTCTTTTCCCTTGAATTCTTTCTTCTAGCATTTCAGGGAATTTTTATCTTCCGGAATAAGCCAGGGTACGTCACTCCTTGTTTCTGCACAGGTGGAAAACTGTGCCTCCGCCCTAGCAAGTACCCCCTTGCCCTGTCACTCCTACTCGGGGTGAGTTCAGCGCCCCCTACAGGGCCCTGCAGCCAACCCCACACCCTGTGGATCTCAAGCACAGCCATTGTCTTTGGTTTCTCTCTGGGAATGGCATTTTTCTCTCCTCCTTCTTCCCCCTCTCCAGCTTTTACCTTCTGTTTTGTTTTACTGCTCTCTAACTGACTTTGTCTTTATTTTCTTGGTGATTTATCGTTTTCAGATAATCAGTTAAAAGATGAACTTCTGTGGTAATAGACCTAAAAACTCTCTGTATTTAAACTAGTTCTCCTTTAGGCAAAAAAACAAGTAATCTTCATGGAAATGATTAGACCCATTGGTATGTGGGAAAGAACAGAATTTCAGGGAAAACAAATTAACTGAAACTTCCACTGGCCTATTGAAAATTTGAAATAGGAAGCCCAGTCATTACTTGAAGGTATTTTACGAATTCAGCCCATAAAGTTTTATATCACTTATGTATGTTTTTCAGGAGGATGAACATTACCATTCCACATTTCCTTCTCTTGGCACCGATCTCGACACGGTTTTTATGTACGACGTCTTTTCTTCATAAATAGCGTTTTTTTCGAGTTAGTTTGTAATTTATTTACTTCATATTGTCTGCCTAAATTAGTACTAAATCTCAGGAAATCCTGGTACGATTTAATACTTAACCGAAGCATTTATTACAGTATCTGGAATCGAGAAGTGAAACAGATACGTGGTTCTGCCCATTTCTCCTTGTTTTCTTTCAGAACACATTAGATTTTTCCACCATTCTTAATTAGAGAACAGGAAGCTTTCTGTCTAATTCATGGAGACTGTTGTGGACCAGGAAATAAGTGTGTAGAGCAAGGGGGATTTGGATAGAATTATTTCCTAGCTTCTCTGTTCTGTTTCATACAGCTCATCCGTAGACACCCAGCCTTGCTGTATATTTGGTTCCCTTGGGAGAGCCCCTGCGTTCCTTGTTAAGGAGCCCAGGCAGGGTAATTGGCACCCTGAATGGGGAGAGTGCCTTGTTCACCCACCACAGGCTAGATGGTGCTCGTCCTCAGTCCTCAGGTGCCTGTGGTCAGTCAGCACATCAAAGCTTCCTTCTGATTCCTGGGAATCTGTGGCATCTCTGATCGAAGGATTGTACTGGGTGTATAGCATTTCAATGATGAAATGTAATTTAGTAAAACAACTCAAGTCCATTTCTCCCAGAAGGGGCTTAACCACTCCTGGAGTGGTGGCAGTCAGAACCTCTGGTTAATATGCCTGTATGTCTTCTAGAACGTGAAACTGCCACCTCTTTGATACCTGGCCCCACACTGTTCAGTAGCACCTGTATACGGTCCAGAACCCCTTGTCCCTGTCTGTTCCTGCCCCACCCCTCCCCCGACGCACACTCGGCAGCGGGAGCTTCTCTAGAACCTTCGGTGCCTGGCTTCCTTGGATGTGCTCATCTGCGCATGTGGTTGTGGAGGTGACCCTCTGCTTCTGCACTTGATGTGAACACTCATCACATTACCACTTTACCAAAAGTATTTGTAAGTGCCTATGAAAATACTCAGTTTCAGCCCACAAAGGTTGAGGAGGGGGGAGTGTTAGTGGCAGTGCCAGGACCAGAGCGCCCACCTTTGGAGTTCCACTCTGTGGCTCTTAACAGGGCGCTGTGGCCATCCGTGTGATCTAACCAAGGACAACGGGTAAGAAATGCTGCCATTTTAATATTTATGTTACTATTTAGTAATTTCTTTGGTCATCCTCAGTTTCATTTCGGTGCGAAAACCGTTGTATAAGGAGCTGGCTTTGGAGATAGGCAGAGACAAGTCACACTAAGTGACCTGCAAGGAAAGTGGAGAGGAGGCGGAAGAAAAGTTCAGTAGAGCCTCGTTTCATCTGTATTAGGGATTTTACTTTTACTCTGATTCCACTATTTTATAGATGGGAAAAGTTATACCTAAAGAATGACTTGTTCAAGTCTGATTTAGTGCAAGTTATAACCTAGATCTCCTGAGCCTACATTAAATATTATTTCTAATGTGCTACGCAGACTTCCCTTAGTTTGGAGAAAAGAGTAGTTTCATCCTAGAAATTAAATCTGAAGCTAATACCGCAAAGTGTGGAGAAGATCTGAGTCTGGGAACTCAGACTCTGCGGTGGGTCCAAATGAGAGTTTGTTTCCAAATGAGTCTGTAAGTGCAGAGCGTGATTCTTGGAAGAGCCTCTGCCAGCACCATTACTGTATCAGCTAGCTTTGCTGTGTAACAAACCACCCCAAACAGTTGCTTAAGATACACGTCATGTATTATAAATATTCTACAGCAGCTATTTATTAGAATCATGCTGTACCAATACTTACACATCAGCCACTAAGCTTTCTGTCTGGTCTGTGAACTCCATTGTAACTAAATCCATATACTTCCTATGTGATACACTGGTTCTAAATTTTTAAATGTCTTTAAAAAGAAAGAAATTTATTATTTTTCTCTGACCTTTATTGCACTTAGGATGTCATGGTGTTTCATCACAACGTAATCTGTATTAAAACTCTTTTTTTTAACTTCTAAGTCTTCAAATAAAATATTCATTGTTTTTTTAAAAAGGAAGTTAATAGTTTCACAATTACAAATATTACTCCTCGTGACCTTTGTACCACTGCAATGCCCTAATTGTGAGAAACCTAAACTCAGGCATTTTTTAAAAAATTATTATTGTCATTAATATTAGTTTACATTGGGTTTTATGGGTTTAAAAGTGGCTTCATGGAATTGAACTATGTCATTTTTAAATTAGCTCTTCAGAGCGTCGCTGAGGACCGTTCACGCTGCTACTTCAGGTTCGCTTTTGCTGGTGATAGAAAATTTCAAGTTTGAGTTCCCGGCTGTGCTTTTCTGGCACTTGATTATTGTCAAAAAGCTGTGTTTATCCATGCCCCCTTTGTGTTAGATTTCTCCAGTAAAGGCACCCAGCATTCGAAGTCCTTGGGTCCTTTCCCTGGTGGGCTGCTGTTTGCTCCTGTTAACACCGAATCTTCTGTGCCTTTTGTTTGCAGTGTCTCAGTTTGAAACCGAATTCTACATCAGTGGACTTGCGCCTCTCTGTGACCAGCTCGTCGTTCTTTCCTACGTCAAGGAGGTTTCGGAAAAAACGGTATTTTTTTTTTCCTTTTTTACTCCCAAGTACAAAAGGAAGTGCAGATTTGTTTCTTAGCATTAGGCCCAGGTCAGGTTGCCCAGGAAAGGGCTGTGCTATAGTCTGAGCCGAAGTTCCTGACCTAGAAAATAAGGTCGGCAGAGATTGTATATTTACCTTTCAGAAGCTCCACTCCTTGCCTTCCTTTGTTCCTCTTACTGAGCAAAGGGGAGTCATATTTTTTTCCCCTCTTTTTCTCCGTCTCTTGGTATTTTAGGCAAAAGGAACGAAGGATTCCTTTTGCTGAAGGGTGAAGGAACGGAGCTGACACCGTGCATTCGCAGAAATGACAGCAGTGAAGTTGACCTGCTGCAACAGCAGGGGTCCCCGTGGTCAGAGGGAATTACGGAAGGGGCAGTTCGTTATTTCCTGTGGTCCAGACAGATTCGCTTCCTTCCCAGTGGCCTCCCGACCTGAGCGGCCTGATTTTGCTTTGAAATGGATTGTGGTGAAGTCTCAGTTATCGATGCAAAAGTGAGGGAACGAGACGTAGGGCTAAGAGAAAGCAGCAGAGAATCCAAACATCGTCGTCCGTGACTTTGGAGGGAAGCCTACGTGTGTGATCCGACGGAGGCCATGTCCAGCGGAGACGCTCCGTCTTCCTTTGAAGCCTGGATGAGTTCCTTTCCCAGCTAGCCTTCACTGTTCCGGGCCAGCGGTTGTGCCAGGCTGGGGGTGGGGGTGTGGCTCTAAGGCATAAACAAGGAGAGCTTACTGTAAAGGGTTTTGTCTTAGATGCCCCGTATAAAAGAAATTGCAAGTTGATGGTCTAGTCCTCCGCAGTAAGAAGGCTCCCCTTGTCTGTACCCTCCCCTTCACACCCCCACACCCCCGTTTCCAGTGGGCTGGGAATGAAACGGGAGAGAAAAACCCCAGGAGCCCTGGTTTTGAAGTGGTAGTTCGAGCATTTCTCTGAGTGGGCACTTGCAGCGGGAAGTCATCGCTATAGTAACCTGAAGCTCTGGGCGCCATGTTGCTAGGCAACAGGATGCTTGAGATTTAAGTGAAAACGCGGAGCTGCGAAAATCAATAGGGCTGGCTTCTAGCCCTGTTGCAGGACATCACTTTATTATCTTATTTATTTATTTATTTTTTGAAAATGAAGAAAAGCAGCGGCTCCTCAGGGAGTCAAAACACAGTGCTTTCTGATGGGGAAGGTGGGGGTGGATTGAGAGTGGGATCGGAAGACAGACGAAGGAAGCAGACAATGAAAAAGGGAAACGCCCGATAACACAAGTGGGCAGAAACAGAAAGGAAGGAAACCTGTTAATAAAGGGGCTACCAAGGAGTAAACGCCAAAGAAAGGCCAGCCCCACGGAGCACATGAGAAAATGGAATTTTTTCCGAGGCAGCAGCGTGAGGGTCTCAGAGACGACTTGCAGATGTGTGCGCTGGGACACGCAGCAACTTTGTAGGGCGCCGAAGTGCACCCCAGGTCCTGAAACACCGAATAATCTGGCAAAATAAAGCAAAAGGAGTAAAGCGAGCGTGGGGCCAAACCTCTCCCCCGCTTTGTTCTTTTCTGACATGAAAAAGACCGTATAACTGCGACATTAAGTGAAATTTGTCTTCGTCTCACGCATATCCTCCCCCAAAATGTTCTCCCTGTCACGCGTGTGCGTCATTCCGCACTGTTGTTGTCGTGGTCACGCTCTCCTGCGTTGCCCTACTTTCGTGAACCGTATTCCACTCTCTGTCCGCATGGCTGTGTCATCTCCTGTCATTACCACTTCAAGTGGCCGTGGACTAAGTCCCTCCCTAGGTTTGCTTCCCTTCTGTTCATTAACAAACCGTATGTGTATCAAGAATCATGCCCAGGGGATCAGAGACCAGCAAGACCAAAATCTTGCTCCTGGGAAGGTCACAGATAAGCAGGGGCCTCGTGACCAGCGAGCAAAAGGTTGTAAAGTAACAAGATGAATCACATCCCTGATGGTTTTCTTATGCATTTAAAGGAGCTATTTATGTGGCCAAGCAAGGCGGTTTTCCTTTCACTATTATTTGCTTCCAATATGTTTTCTATTCTTGCTGTTCTAATTTGGATTTTTTTTTTTTTTTTTTGCTCTTGGGATAGCAGTTCATTTTTTAAATATTCAGACCTTTCCACTTTTTTCCCATTGTTTCAAAATTGAGACGGTTCACATTTTTCCACAGATGGGAAAAACTCTATACTATTTTTTCCCCTCTACTAGTTGATCTTTTATAGTTGCAGTTGCATTTTGGGTGTTTTTTATTTTTGTCATGTTTTTAAACGTATGAGATGGAAAGCTAATGTTATTGCCTCTCAGTTACCCCAACACAACGGGTCAAAGAACTCTTGGAGGCTAACTGTGGTCCTCGGGGGACAGCCTCCTCTGGGTTGTCTGCGCCAGGGTCCCACGGCTGCAGGTCTTGGTCTTTCGGGAAAGCGTCAAGCACATGTTCTATGTCTGTGTGCCAAATGCTCAAAAAGCGGAAATTTTCAAAGTAAAACAAGCTTGACTTCAAGTCCGAGATTTACCATAAGTCCCAGTTTTCCCACACACTGCAGTCTCCCCATTACATGACTTTGACCTTGATCACGTTCCTTCGTCTGTGATATCGGAAACAATACTACTCACGAAAGGGTAATTTAAGAACTCTGAGAACGCGTGTCTCATCAGCCTGTAGGTTAGTGGCACTGCCCTAGGCCCTCGGAAACCCTCTCTCTCCCTTGTCTCTTGACCCAGAAGTGCACCGTTCAACACTGTGGTCACTAACCATATGTGGCTATCTAAATTGTAATTAATTCAAGTGAAATAAAAATTAAAAGCCGCTTCCCGGTCGCGGTAGCCGCCAGTGACTCCTGTCTGTCACATTGGGCAGCGCACGTGGCCGTCACCATTGCCTTCTTCATCTGAGCGCATTGTGCTTTAGATGTAGCTCTCAGTCCCTGGCTTTTCAGCGTCCCCAGTGAGTGTACCGGCGGCGGCAGTGGCTGGGCAGTTCGTGATGTTATTTTTGCGCTTCCCCACTTTCGGGAGGAAGAGCGGTGAGCTGGCTGTGGAAGTATGCGGGGGCCGTGCCCTTGGAGCTGGACAGGCCGCACAGCAGCTCCTGTCCCGTTGGCCCCACTGAAAGGTCAGGTGGTCACGTGGCGTGACGGCGTCGCCCTGCAGGTGGTTAGAAGGGCCTACATCCGCCCAAATTAGGAAACCACGGCATTTGACTATGACTGACTGGAACACATTTGTACAGTTTCTAGAAACGTAATGAAAACATGCCTTTTCCCCCCCCCCCCCCCCCCAGGAGAGAGAATACTGTGCCAGGCCTCGACTAGATATCATCCAGCCGCTGCCTGAAACCTGCGAGGAGATCTCTTCTGACGCTCTCACTGTGAGAGGCTTTCAGGAGAATGAGTGCAGAGATTATCATTTAGGTGAGAGCTCAAAGCTCTGGCCGTGTTGTTTCTTACACTTGTGTGTTTGTGTGTGTTTGTTTCTCCCCCCTCTTTCTCCTGGTTAGCACAACCCGGAATTTAAACTGAGGTGCTGGAAGGATCTTAGAGACTACCTGGGCAGGCCTCTTGAGCTGAGGAGGGAGGCACAAGGCTCAGACATCTTGCCGAGCTTGTCTGAGCCCCTGCAGAAGGGACGGGGAGATGCGGGGCCGGGACCGAGGTGAGAGGGCTCCGTGGTCCTCATTCTTATGTCGTGTCTCTTGCCCTGGTGGGTGTGCCACTCACGTCGACATCAGGCAGCATAGTTCCATAGTCACCGTATGACCCCCAACTGTACATGCCTGGAGAGCCCGCTCTGGGACAGCAGCCGAGTTGTCTTCCGGTCCGGGACCATGCCCAGAGCCTCGGGGGGCGCCTGGCAAGGACGCGGTGTTCGCTGAGTGTTTTCTGAGTGGATGAATGAATATGCTGGCCACTACTCGGAAGTCAAGGATCAACGGCTGTTACTTGGTCATTACCAGGCCGTCTGTGCTAGAGTGTCATCCTAGCATCCAAAAATACATTGATGAAAGTAGAACAGCCTAAGCTTTCTTTTAGAAATTTTCCCACTTCAGAAGCAACTGATGTGTTGTTTTTTGTTTTTGTGTTTTTTTTTCCCCCAGAATATTTTCAGTTCTCATTTTGGCCAAAGGAAATAAATATTCTATACAGTTTGATCTTTCTTTTTTCTTTTTAAATTTTTTTTCATGTTTGTTTATTTTTGAGAGCGAGAGAGAGAGAGCGCACGCACACAAGTGGGCAGGGGCAGAGAGAGAGGGAGACACAGAATCAGAAGCAGGTTCCAGGCTTCGAGCTGTCAGCACAGAGCCCGACGTGGGGCTCCAACCCATGAACTGTGAGATCAGGCGTGACCTGAACTGAAGCTGGACACTTAACCGACTGAGCCACCCAGGCACCCCCGGTTTGAGCTTTCTTATACGGACCCCCTAATCAGTTGAGAAATGTGAGAGCATATTCAGGACTTGGCAAAAAGCAAGTGTGATTCATTACCTGAAGTGGCCAGTCAAGGCATTTTGCTCAGAACAAACTCCATTGCACACTTAGAAACCCTTCCCAACACGTGTAATTGAATTCTGCAGGAAACCCTCACGACTGGCGTTGTGCACAATGTGCTGAAATGATAGATGATGTCCCCAGGGCCTGGGGCATCTGTCATTTATGCATTTGATGGCCTTGACCTAGATGAGGAGGAAACATTCATCGCCAACTGTGGGGTGTAATTGTTCTGTAAAAATAGAACAGTGCTGTAAATGGCCATGAATTTAAGTTTATATACAGAAGATGAATTCTAACACACAGTAGACGTGGAGAATTTTGACCGCATCTTTCAGCTGAGGTCACAATGTTAATGTGTTAAACACAGAACTATAAACCACATTATTTTTTCAAAGTTTTTTTGGTAGTCCTTCCTTCCCTCCCCTTTTTTTTTTCCTTTCAAGTTAATTGTGCATGTAAATGTTTCTTAAAGCAGCCCTGCCTTCAGACGGAGCCTCCCCAAGGGAGGCAAGTTTTCTGTTTCCTCTGGAATTGCATAACCTAACCGAGTCCCTGAAACTACTACCGAAGTGTGTAATGCCAAGCCCCCCACGCTGTTCTTTTCTTGCCTCGCCTACAGAGTACTCGGAGGGGGAGTCGCTCTTTTACATTGTGAGTCCAAGAGACGTTGTTGTAGCCAAGGAACGGGACCAAGATGACCACATTGACTGGCTCCTTGAAAAGAAGAAATATGAGGTAGTTTTGATTTTACTCTCCTGAAGGAATGACCGCACCTGTGACAGAGGATAAAACATTTGTGTAATAAATTTTTCGTGTCTGTGAATTAGAACGCCCTAAGCTAAAAATAGGTAGGAGGCTAATAACTTTCCAATACTCTTTCAGAGATGAGGGGAGAAAAGATTACAAGGAGGTTAACTGGCTTCGTTGTTCAGCGGAGGAAGAGGTGTGGTGGGAGAGGGAGCCAGGAGGGTTGGATGCAGCCTATTCGAGTGTTTCTTCTGTGGTTTTTCAAAGAAAATAGGATCAAGCTAGTATTTCAGAATTGTCTCTTCTGTATTTTAGTGACACCATTCATTTGTGCTAATTTCGTACGTAAGATTAAGATATCAAATTAATACTCACTTGGGATGGTTTGAACTACTTGTTCAGAGAGGAGGAGGATGTGCACTTCACCGAGTCTCGATTCAGACTAATCTGAGTAGAAAAATGTCTCATGATGACTTGTATTTTAAAAAAAGAAAACATTTTAACTTTAAAAGCTGAAAAGACATTATTATGGTTGGTTTAGTTAGAGACACTCTCCAGATGGGCTTCTATACTAATTAACTGAAAACAAACAGACACAAAATAATCTCTTCATTTGCTACTTTAATTATGTAACCACCTGAAAGGATTGGGGGGGGCAGAATGGTTTTCATTTATAAACTAACTTGAGTCCTGGTATTTAAAAAAAATTTTTTTAATGTTTTATTTGTTTCTAAGAGAGAGAGAGAGACAGCATGAGCAGGGGGAGGGTCAGAGAGAGAGGGAGACACAGAATCTGAGACAGGCTCCAGGCTCTGAGCTGTCAGCACACAATCCGACGCGGGGCTCGAACAAGTGAACCGTGAGATCATGACCTGAGCCAAAGTCGGAGGCTTAACCGACTGAGCCCCCCCAGGCACCCCGATAATTTCAAGTTTTAAACACTTGTGTTAAAGTAGTAATTCTGAACTTTCCAAGATGAAAGTAAAATCAGGGATTTTCGAAATCTTAATTGCAGATACACTTAACCGTATGCATCGAGTTTATGTTTTGTATCTCACAAAGGAAAGGGCCCTTTGTCACTGTACGTGACGCAGATTTAGAATGACAGATGAATTTTTTGTTTGTTTGAACCCAGGAGATGTTGCCGTATTTTGATTTGTGTCTGAAATGTGATTCCAATATCCTAATGTGGAAATGCATTCAACTGGAAATAAGAGAAGTCTTCATTTTGGTTGAATGTCTCTGCTGGAGTTTGAATGCAGTGAGGTTCATTCAACCATAACATTAAAAATGCCCATGCTTGAAGCAAAAGCCGTGGGAAAATGGGGCTTTATTTATGTAGTCTAGAGCTTTAAAACGTAATAAATACAGTGTTTATAATCTCAATATCTTTCTTTCCCACTCTCTTCCATTTTCCCTCCCTTCTTTTCTACCCCCTTATCCTGCTTCTGTAAACATAGGAAGCTTTGATGGCAGCTGAAATCAGCCAGAAGAACATTAAAAGACATAAGATTCTAGTAAGTGTGTAATTTTATTATTTGAATTGTAACTTTACCTTTTTGATAAGTTATAATGAGACTGAAAGTAATTTAAAAGAACAGAATTTTTTCCTACCTTTTTGAGACTTTATTTCAGACTAATTCTCTAACCTGCAAGGTCAAAATATTTCATTTTATTGAATCTGTTTCTGCTTGTAAACAAGAGGCTTGAACACCTACTAGGAGGCAGTTTTGGGTGGTTGGACACTGGATTTGTGAAATGCACTTTAAATACAAAACTGTCCCATTGTGTGTGGGGAACTTTTCTTTGCACTATCCCCAAATTTATCAGGAGTGGTTTCCTAACGCCAGATTGCTTCAGTGTGTCCACAGTCAGAATCACTTGTGTTACGGAGACGAATCCAGGACCTCAGATACAATTTTCATTACATTTTGAACTCTGGACAAATACGGGGACTGAAAGCTCATTCCTTTGCTGATTGTGACAGTGGACATGCACATGGAGAGTGTGAAGATCTTTAGACATCAGCCATTCCAGGACCCTGGTTCACAGATGAAAACTGGAAACCTAGTCACCTTTTTTAATTAAGAAAATTTGTTTCTTTGTGTTTGTTTATTTTTGAGAGAGAGAGAGGGAGAGAGAGAGCACGAGTTGGGGGGGAGGGGGTGGCGGGCCAGAGAGAGTGTGGGACACAGAATCCGAAGCAGGCTCCAGGCTCTAAGCTGTCAGCACAGAGCCTGATGCGAGGCTTGAACTCATGAACCGTGAGATCACATCCTGAGCCAAGGTCATGACTGAACCCACTGAAGCGCCCAGGCATGCCTTTTATTTAAATTGATTTACATATTTATTTACATCTCCTGTACTTTTCCCCCACAATAAAAATCACCTAGGAGCGCCTGGGTGGCTCATTCAGTTAAGCATCCGACTTCGGCTCAGGTCATGATCTCACAGTACGTGGGTTTGAGCCCCGCAACGGGCTCTGTGCTGCCAGCTCGGAGCCTGGAACCTGCTTCAGATTCTGTGTCTCCCTCTCCCTCTCTCTCTGCCCCTCCCCTGCTCTCTGTCTCTGTCTCTCAAAATAAAGACATTAAAAAAAAATGCTTTGGAAGGAAATGAGCACAATTACGGACAGCACACGAAGCTATATAAACCACACTCTAGGCAGTAGTGCAGCAGGACCCTAAGGTCATGGCCAGCTCAGGATCTAGGCTCAATTTTGCAATTTTCCAGTTAATTTTGGAATTCTTCATTTCATTTTTCCTAGGACATTGGCTTGGCCTATATAAACCACCTGGTGGAGAAAGGAGAGTATGACATAGCAGCACGGTAATGATGATATTTCCACAATTATTTGTTAGTAGAAGTAGAAGTGAGAAATGTTCACAATAAAATAAGCCACTCTCTGAGGTGGACGTTTTTTCAGATCTTTCTTACAGGGGTAATTTTTGAGTATTAGCGGCTTTACCTGCAGCATGGATTTGTTACTTACCCACCTACTGTCTCATTTTCACCGAACCAGAGGATTTAGTGGGAAGGATGTGAAAAACATGAAGAGTGGGAGGGTTTACCCTTTATATAAGCCAGCAAGTTAGCACACCCGTTTCACGGTGCTGCCTCCTGGGCCAGAGAGGCCGGCCGAGCGCCGCAGTAGCCGCATCGCGCGGCCCCGGCGCCTGCAGAGGCCCGGCGGTGACACTGCGGGAGAGGGCCCTGGCCTGAGGACGGCGATCCTTTCATAATAGGCAGGAGCCCTGGCTGCCCTTAGCTTCAGAGCAGCACAGGGGCTTTCGTCACAACCCTGCCGTTTGTCCTGGAGGGAAACACTGCATGTGTGTGTCCTTTCCGGGGGGCTGTCCGCTCTACGCACACCCTGGACAGTGCGGTCAGCGCCACTGCTCGTAATCCAAGGAGGATGGTCCCCCCGCAGGAAGGTGGCAGGTAAACAGACGTGACCACATTTCAGCCTTCGGGTTCGCAGGGGTCTGTGGGGACAAGAACACAAATGGTACGTGGTGGGGGTGTGGGGGGCCCCCCCCGAGCTTCAGGCTGCTCACCTGCACGACCACACGGCCGCCTGGAAACCTCGGCTTCAGGCCTACCTCTTATTTTCTGAGATTGAGGGAAACCTGGTTTTTTTGCAGGGCAAATTATGTTTTTATTCATATATAAATATTTCTTCATGGGGCACCTGGGTGGCTCAGTCGGTGAAGCATCCGACTTCGGCTCAGGTCATGATCTCACAGTTCGTGGGTTTGAGCCCCACGTCGGGCTCTGCACTGCCAGCTCGGAGCCTGGAACCTGTTGCAGATTCTGTGTCTCCCTCTCTCTCTGACCGTCCCCTACTCATGAGGTCTCTCTCTCTTAGAAAGAAATAAAACATTTTTTAAAAATTAAAAAACAAATATTTCTCCAGATTATATACTGCAATAGGATTTCAGTTTTCTGAGGTCTGATTTTGTAGTCCACTGTTTAAAAGCCATGCAAGAAGTTGTTTAAATTGGTACTTTTGGGCCCGGTGACACCCCTTCAAGGCCCCCAGCCTGCTGACTCCCACACCAGCAGCGCTCATCTGGGTACGTAGGAAGCTCAGAACAGGATAATCACTGGCAAAACCCCTGATCGTAGCCTTCTGAGAGGGACTCCTCTTTATTTCTAAGTGTTCTGTATCAATTGTCATGATTTCCATCAACCTTGAGTATGCAGACAAGTGGCTATCTAGTAATAATACCTTTATGTTCATTGGCACTTGAGTTGGAAATTTGTCAGAGCTCTGAGATGAGAGATTTATCTAAACCAGTAAAGAAATGTATTCTTTCTCTTTTTTGCTTTCTCCCTGGGATGTTTTGACTGCCAGCAAATGCCAGAAAATTCTTGGGAAAAATGCAGCACTCTGGGAATATGAAGTTTATAAATTTAAAGAGATTGGACAGCTTAAGGTAAGCATAGCCTTATTTTTAACTCTTAATTTTTGTCTGTAGCATATTAATATTGAGATGGAAATAAAATGAAGAGCGTAGTAATTAGTTCCTTCCTAGAAAGCGAGAGTTATCTCCTCCAGGAAGAAAAATCAACATATAAATCTTTATACTTCATGTGTATAAAACATATACATATATATTATACCTTCTTATATCAGTCCAGTTCTCTCTGTGTTTAGATGAAGTTTTTATGTTCTTCTTAATGAATATGGAAAGCAGGTACAGTCTCATTCTGCCGATTAAAAAAGCATAAGGCTGTTTTCAAAGGCACTAAAGAATGAATGTATTTTTCAAATAATATTTTATTTGCTGGAAGACAAATTGAAAAGGTTGACCATGTAACTGTAACACGTAATTTGCTATTTCATGTCCTCACTTTTGTTTTCTTTTTCAAATTTTTATTAATTTCCAGTGTAATACTAGTTTGGGGTGTAAAATCACTTACATACAACACCCCGTGCTTATCACACTTGTCGATGTGATAAGTGCCCTCCTTAATCCCCATCACCCATTTAGTCCATAGCCCCACCCTTCTCCCTCCAGCAACCCTCAATTTGTTGTCTATAGCTAAGAATATGTTACAGTTTGCTTCCCTGTCTTTTTCTTTTTTTTTTTAGCCTTTCCGATATGTTCACATCTGTTTTATTTCTTTAATTCCACATATGAGTGAAATCCTATCGTGTTGGTGTTTCTCTGCCTGACTCATTTCACTTAGCATAATCACTCTAGCTCCATCCGTGTCCTTGCAAATGACAAGATTTTATTCTTTTTTATGGTTAAGTAATATTCCATCTTCTTTACCCATTTAATAGTCGATGGACATTTGGGCTCTTCCCATAATTTGACTCTTGTTGATAATGCTGCTCTCATTGGTGTCCATGTATCCCTTCAAATCAGTAATTTTGTATCCTTTGGATGAATACCTCCTAGTGCAATTGCTGGATGGTAGGGTAGCTCTATTTTTAACTTTTTGAGGAGCCTCCATACTCTTTTCCAAGGGGCTGCACCAGTTTGCATTCCCACCAGCAGTGTAAGAGGGCCCCCCCTTTTCTGTATCCTCACCCACATCTGTTGTTGCTGGAGCTGTTAATTTTAGCCATTTGACAGGTGCGAGTTGGTATCTCACTGTAGTTTTGATTTGTATTTCCCTGGTGATGACTGGTGTCGAGCATCTTTTCATGTGTCTGTTAGCCATCTATATGTCTTCTTTGGAAGGAAAAATGTCTGTTCATGTCTTCTGCCCACTTTTTAACTGGATTATTGGATGTTCAGTTTTATAAATTCTTTATATTCTTTACATAGTCCGTTTTAAAAGTCTTTATATATTTTAGATACTCACCCTTTATCTGATAAGTCATTGCAAAAAAACCCGAAAAACCCGAAACCCTCCCATTCCAAAGGTTGCTTTTTAGTTTTGTTGATTTGGAAGCAATTTACCTTTCCAGTTACCGCACAACTGAACAATAAAGTGGCCATATGTTTGTTTAAAACATTCATTTTTTAAAAATATTTGTGAACCTTCACAGTGTTCAGAGTATGTTTTTAAAAATTTCCAGCTGCGGGGGGCCTGGGTGCCTCAGCTGACTCTTGACTTCGGCGCAGGTGGGACCATGTCCTGTGTCGGGCTCAGCACTGAACACTGAGTGTGGAGTCTGCTTGAGAGGCTGTCTCTCTCTCTGTCTCAGTCTCTCCCTCTGTCTCTCCCCCCCCCCTCCTCTGCCCCTCTCCCCGCTAGTGCTCTCCCTCTCTCAAAACATTTTTTAAAAAGTTGAAAAAAAAAAAAAAAAGGAAACTCCCGGTCACTCAGGCCGCCCGCCCTGGGGCCTCTGCGCTTCTGCCCTCACGGCGCTCTTCCCGGAGGGACACTGCCTGTCCTGTTCACGCGGCTGCTCCTGGGGGAGCTTATCCAGTCCTGGGGCCACGTCTACGCCGATGGCTCCATAGCCCACACCTCTCTTTTGCACTCCGTGTCTGCTGGAAACCTGTGATGATCATTTTTCCTTGCGTGACCTGCTGATGACGATCGCCCCGATCAGCGTGAATCGTCTCTTTCCCAAAGTTGGTCGCCCTCCTCTCCGCCTGTGTCTGTGACTGCACGATGCAGCCACCCCTCCCTGCTTTACAGCTCCAGCCACCCCCCCCCCCCCCCCGGCGAGAACGCGTGAGCCGCCTCTGCTCTGTCTCCGCCGCGGCTCCTGTCCGCCTCCCCGCCGGCGCCGCTGCCGTGACTCTCACCTGTGCCGTCGCAGGGGCCTTGGGACGGTCGGACGAACAGCCCGACCCAGGGCTAGCGGCTCAAAACCTAAATCTGCCCTTCTCCCTGCCCTTCTGCTCCAGGTGGAAAATCCGCATCGCTTTCCTTGCCCCACTCCCCTCCCCCTCCAGCGTCAGCTCGTGTCTGGGACCCCTGTCCCGCGTATCTGAGCCACTCTGGTCTCCCTGAACACCGTGCACGTCCCTGGCTCCACGCTGTTCCCTCTGCCCTTCCCCATCTTGCTTTTCCTGATAGGCCCCTGGCGCCCGTCTTTTCTGTCTCCGTGTGCAGGTCCCACCCGTGCTCACCCAGCACCGTGTGAGCCCCTTTCTTTAGAACACTTAGCACACAGCACTGCAGCTGCTGTTGAGATGTGGGCATGCCATCCCTCTGCGGCTTCGAGCCCCTTGGGATGGTGACTCTAGGTCCGTGTCCCCAGGACAGAGTGTGGTGATGGTACATAGTGCGCTGCAGACTCATTTAACAGCGTTTGGAAATTCACGCCACACAGCACTCAAACAGCTAAAGAACACAAGGTGTGTTATTTTCCCTTAATGTCAGCTGGTGATTGTACGTTTTTAAAGTGTGATATAGTCCATTTTAAATAAAAAATTAAAAAAAAATAGGGATAGATGACCTGTTTGATTACTTAAGGTAGAGCTTTCATTTCTGTGACATTGTCCAGCCTATTATTTAGAGTTTCATTAATTCATCAGGAAGAACAGAGAGAGAATGTTTAACCTGAGACAGTTTTTTAATTCGTCTTTCATACATACACACACCTCACAGATACTTTTGAAAATATATTGCAATGTGTTATAAGACAGAGTTTATTTGAATTTTTCTTTTCATAATAATTTTCCAAAGTACTCTGTTGCCTTACATTAAAAATACATTTTTTTTTATGTTTATTTTTGAGAGAGACAGAGTGCAAATGGAGGAGGGGCAGAGAGAGAGAGGGAGACACAGAATCCAAAGCAGGCTCCAGGCTCCTGAGCTGTCAGCACAGCCCCCAACACGGGGCTCGAACTCACAAACCGTGAGATCATGACCTGAGCCGAAGTCGGACGCCTAACTGACTAAGCCACCCAGCACCCCATCTGTTGAGTTACATTTTTAAAAGTAAAAATACACAGATGGTCTCCTACTTACAGGAGTTCAACTTCTGGTTTTTCAACTTTACATTGGTACAAAAGCGATACACAGTCAGTAGAAACCATACTGTGGATTTGGCTCTTTTCCTGGGCTGGCGATACATGTGATGAGCCTCAGTGGCACCAGGGGGCAGCTCCCAGTCAGGTCAGCCGCACCGTCACCGGGGTCGGCAGCCCGTACGCTCACAGCCATTCTGTTCCCACACAGCCATTCTGCTCTTCATTCTCAGTACAATATCCAGTAAACTAAAAGATATTCAACACTTTGTAATAAAAACAGGCTGTGTGTTAGATGGTTTTGCCCACCCGTTGGCTAACATAAGTGTTGTGGGCACATCTAAGGTAGGCTCGGCTAAGCTGTGATGTTCGGAAGGGGGGAGCTTTAAATGCATTTCTGACTTAAAATATTCTCAATTTATGATGGGTTTATCAGAACGTCACCCTACGGTAGCGGGCAGAAGTTCTCTGGACTTTTACACTCTCTACATAACTGGGGAATGGTTTTGTTTTGTCCCTTCTGAAACGATTTTTTCCTTTTCCTTCCTTAGGCTATCAGTCCTTACCTGCCAAGGGGAGACCCAGTTCTGAAGCCACTCATCTATGAAATGATCTTACATGAATTTCTGGAAAGTGATTATGAGGTACGGCCATTCTGACACGGTCATATGTACTTGCTCTCAATGGGAAAGTGGTAAGAAATCCAGAAAAGTAACACAGGGAGCAGATTTGTGGGTCGCATGTGATGGATAAACCTGAGGCAAGATCCCGATGCCCACTCGTGTCTGCACAGACTGTGAAAATCTCTAGTCCATGTACATCGTGAACATTCCTTCCCTCCTTTATAATCTCCTACAGCTAATTCTTTTATCTCCTCAAAAGGGCTAAAGAAAAAGGACTAAATGTTGTTTGGTGATTTCGTACAGCTGCCATTGATGCTTGAGACTCAGAATTAAGTTTGCCAAAGGGAAATGAAGGGAAACCAGGGGTAGGGGAGGCAGGTAGGAGCTTGGAAAAGATCTGTTTGCTTATTGATGATGGGGAAGGGTGGCATTTCCGTGGCTGGCATCTACCGTACGCTCTCTGCTTTCACATGCGATTTTATACCCCCGTCAACCCCATAGATGGTAATACCCAATTTTACAGATGAGGAAACTAAAGATTAAGGAACTTAAGGTTCACGGGCCAACATTTAAAAAATTGGCATGCCTGGATTCGAATCTGAATTAGGTGTTAGCATGCATCCAAAATGGATTCTGATTTTTAAAGTTTGTTAATTTCATACGCATTTATTCAGGAAATCCCTGTGGAATATCTGCTGCATTGCAGGCACGTGCTAGGCGCTAGGCATGCGGGTGTGAATGGAACGATGCACATTCAGTGACAGCTAATGGTCCGTGTTGCACGCAGCCGTGTAAACCAGTGATTCTCAACAGGGGCTGATTATGGCCCCCAGGGGACATTGGGCGATGTCTGGAGACATTTTTGGTCGTTATGACTAGGTCCTTGGTGCTACTGACACCACTTTAATGGATGGAGGCCAGCAAGGGCGCTACGTAGCATCCTACAATGAGCAAGAGAGCCCCCTTGACAAAGAACCATTTGTCCCCAAATGTCAGCAGCACTGAGGTTGAGAAACCCTGACGCAGACACATTACGAGCTAACGTGCTGGGTGCTCTAGGAAAGCTGTCATCCAAGCGTGTGGCCGAGCCTCAGCCTCCTTCCCCTCTGACCGGAGGAAGGAGATTTCTGGTGCGCACATTCTAAACTCGTCAGCTCCTTTTCACGGCAGTGACTGGTGTCAGGAGGCTCCACAAGCCAGGAGATGTCGGACGACAGGCTGCCATCTTCAGCTTCTGCGCAGCCTTCCGATTCTTTCATAAAAACGGCACCGTCTGCAGCTCCTTGTACAGTTCCAAGAGCTCAACCCCAGGGATATGTGTTCATTTTGGTGCCTCTTAGCACGCCATGGGCAGTCACTCCTGTCTTCTGTCTTGGTGTTCCGCTTCTAAAGAAAAGGAGGGCTCTGTGTGTACAAGAACGTGAGGGGGCTCGAAGACAGGTTAATGCGTGGAGGCAGCAAGCAGACTGGAGAATGGATGAGGAGAACGGCCCCTGGCTTCCAGGCGCCTGCTGAGTACTTTATTAGGATCCTTTTTTTTTGCCAATAGCAGATTGGATTTAGGAGGGGGGGGCCCTATGGCAAACGCTACTGCGCTTTAACTCTGAGGTGAAGCTTAAATCTTAAGACCCACAGGGACCTTTAAAACCATGAGCCCTTATGCTAAGAACTCAGGCATTCGGTCAGTTACTGTCTGCCAGGTACGGAAGACTCGAGCAGCCTGAAGCACGTGTGGTCTGTATTGATGCCTTACTTTTAGAGCTTGGATCTGTTCCTTTCTAAGTCTGTAGATGTAGATCTTCTAGAAGAGTTTATGGTGATAGTTTCTGTCATTTATGCTGGACACCAGCTGATGTAGGCTAGAGGCAGGGTTTCTGTTCATTGTACATCTTCTCAAAAGAGAATTATGAGTGTCCTATGAAGATAATGGAGAAAAATAGGAATTTTATTGAGAAATACTGAAGCTTAGTAAACTTGTCCTCTTTTTCAAATAATGTAATTTGACCATGAAAGCCACAATTTTATTATTTTTATGATCGTGTTACAGTTCTTTCATATGATTCAGTTCTTTTTCAAGAAACGATTTTAAATTCTGTATACGGGGCGCCTGGGTGACTCAGTCGGTTGAGCGTCTGCGACTTGGGCTCAGGTCATGATCTCACGGTTCGTGGGTTCGAGCCCGGCGTCAGGCTCTGTGCTGACAGCTCAAAGCCTGGAGCCTGCTTTGGCTTCTGTGACTCCCTCTCTTTCTGACCCTCCCCTGCTCACATGGTCTCTCTCTCTCTCTCTCTCAGAAATAAATAAAACATTTAAAAAAATTTAAATTCTGTGTCATTAAAGTTATCCTATTGATTCATGTCTAGAAGTCTGTTGACTGAGAGAGAAAGAAATAAGCATGACTTAAGCTTAGAGTTCGTGGGTGTTTCTTCCTGAATATTCAGGGCATCTGCCTGGTCAGTACTGTAAAGATGGGTATATGTAATTTATTGTTGCTGCCATAAGCTGTTAGAAATTGTTTGCCTTCCCTCAGTCTTAGTTTCATGTTTAATTTTGAATTAAATTGTCACATAATTGAGTAGGGAGCAGTGTTCTGTAGCAACACTTTTGATCACGTATTATGTGGATGAAAATTTTGTGTCACTAAACAGCACTATAAGTCAGATAGAAAACAAAAAACAGCTGTCTACCTCTCTGGAATATTAACTCCTCGATTTTCTTCCTTAAAAGATCTGAAGTGGCAGTATTTACTTGGAGGTAGGGATGCCTCATGACTTGTTTCTATGAGGTTTCTACTGAAATACGCATATAGCTCCATTGTTTTATTTACAACCTAGCGGAATTATTTTACTTATATATTTTTTTAAAAATTTTTTAACATTTGTTTTTGAGAGACAGAGACAAGTGTGAGCAGGAGAAGGGCAGAGAGAGAGGGAGACATAGAATCTGAAGCAGGCTCCAGGCTCTGAGCTGTCAGTACAGAGCCCGACGCGGGGCTCGAACCCACACACCATGAGATCATGACCCGAGCTAAAGTCGGGCACTTATCTGACTGAGCCACCCAGGTGCCCCATAGCAGAATTATTTTTATAAGGACTGTGGGCCAACCGATAATGCCACTGGAGCTCCATGATGAGTTAAAAACTTCGATGAGTTTCATAATATTAGTGACAAATGTATAAGCTTATTAAAAGTAGAATTGGCTGTGGCGTTTCGTTTAAGGAACACTGTGTAACGTTGCACTTAACTCTGATGGGCACTGAGGTGCTCTCTGACTTTCCCCACTCGATCATAACATTTCGCTGATAACCGTGTCCTCTGATTAATCAGAAAGGCCGCAGGGTTGATTGCTTCAGTGTTTCTTAGCACATCTATTCCAGGGCGCACGGAGCCAGTTAAGCAGAGAAAAGCATAACGTGAAATGTGATAAGTGTTTATTTCAGCTTATGTAGGAGTCATCATGTTTTTATCGCACAGTATGACCGGTCATTTTGTCTCCTTTTGTATTAGATCTTGGCAGTACTGCGAGGCTGTCACATGAACGGGGAAGACAGAGAAGCCAAGCCGCCTCGTTTCCCAAACCATATTATTCCTGGTCTCATGGCTCCTAAGAGCCACCAGTGTTTGGGTGGGAATCTTTTCAGACTTTTTTATTTTATAAATCACGTGGTCTTAGAAACTTGATCCGAAGTATCATTTGGGTTCTAAGAACATTTTAATATTCTGACTCAGTGGTTTTATAAGATACACCGTCTTCGCTTTAGGGACACGTCTCCCCAGACCTCTCATGTCAAGCTGCAGTCATGCTCTTATGTGCGAAGGTTGCAGTTTGAATGGAGAGCGTGTTCCCCGTTCTGGTCTCTTGCCATCCTGCCCGGGGTTCCTTAGGTAGGACTTGAATGGAGACCGTGACCCTGATTCTTTGGGATTGTCTTTGGACCACATCTTGGTACTTTACAGAAGCAAATGCCACCACACTGTTTTCATTTCTGAATCTCACTTAAGTGGGGCGCCTGGGTGGCCCAGTCAGTTAATTGTCCAATTCTTGATTTCTGCTCAGGTCATGATCTCACAGTTTGTGAGATTGAGCCCCACACCGGGCTCTGTGCTGACAGTGCAAAGCCTGCTTGGAATTCTCTCCCTCCCTCTCTCTCCCTGCCCCTCCCTCACTCATGCACGCTCTCTCTCTCTCTCTCTCTCTCTCTCTCAAAAATAAACATTAAAATAAATGAATGTCACTTAACTAAATTCATAGTAGTATATTAAAGCACTCGTTGAGATATTTAATATTAATAATAGGATCTTTTTCAATGGTATGAAGATTTTTACTTTGCCATCTTGAACACATGTAAGGTTTTTCTCTACGAGTTTCCGGGATCAGTGAGCAAAGTCCTCTGCCATACTCTGAGTTACAAAACCTGAGCTCGGAAGTGAGGAATCAGGAGGGATACCGGCCATGAATCAACCGTAGGAGGGAAACAGGATCCAGTCAGGAAATTTGGGGGTTTCTATAAGAACCATAAAATGTGAGGCCCAGCTAGTGGCCACGGCTTGAGCCAAAGTCCCAAATCGCCCAGAAAAACTAGGTTTAGAGGCAAGAATGACAAGAAGACAAAGATGATGTCTTGTGGCAGGTGAGGTGCCGGTGATTCTGCCGCGGGAACAAGCCACCTCGTGTGGCGGTGCCAGCCGCACAGGACGCCTGCGTGACCCTTGCACACGTGGCCCGGCACAGGAGGCACAGGAGGTGGGAAGGAGAGTAGCCGACTGGGGCAGTATCTTCAAGATGCTGAGGGGGTCATCCGGCTGTTATGGTTAGTCCAGAGTGAGGTTAAAGCAAGGCGGACCTAAACTCTGTGTGTGCAGCATTGCGTTATTGAACCCCCTTCCTTACCTGTGCGGGACTGGAGGGCGCCACCTCCTTCCAGAAACGGCAAGTGGAGATTAGCATGCAGTAATCCTCTGCCTCCCTCCCCACCCCCAAGCCCAGAGTCTGAAAGTTGGTGACACGTTTTCGGACCAAAGTTGTGTGTGTGTGTGTTTTTTTTTTTTATTTTAGAGAGAGAGCACGTGAGTGGAGGGCAGAGAGGGAGAGGGAGAAAGAGGATCTTAAGCAGGCTCCACTCTCAGTGCAGAGCCTGACGTGGGGCTTCATCCCATGACCCTGGGATCGTGACCTGAGCCGATATCAAGAATTGGACACTCAACCGATAGAGCCACACGGGCACCCCTGGACCAGAGTTTTAATGATAAAATTATTCTGTCTGTTTACGTGAATGCTTTTGAGCATTGTTTAAACCTTTTGGATTGCTGTTCTATTTAAAGAGCGTTTTTCTGTTTTTCCCTCTTGATTAGGGTTTTGCCACTCTGATCCGAGAATGGCCAGGAAATCTGTACAATAATTCAGTAATAGTCCAAGCAGTTCGGGATCACCTGAAGAAAGACAGTCAGAATAGGACCCTACTCAGAACCCTGGCGGAACTGTGAGTATAATTTAGTGCTGCTGTTTCCAGTTCAATCCCCATGAGGGGTTTTCATGTTGTAGATCTAGCGACTCTGGATGGGAAGACGCAGAAGAGGGAGCCTTTTACACCATTTTCCTATGTTCGCTCTTAGTAAAGTCCTTTCATAAACCTCTGGTGAACAGCTAGCGGGTGAGGGAAAGGTGTGAAACTGTGCGAACAGAATGGAACCGGGTTCCCAGAGGAGAGAGGACCCTGGTCAGCAGCTCTGTGTGGAGGCAGTGGTGCAGAAAGGGCAGAGTGCCGGGTCTGAGATTCCAGAAGAAAATTGGTTTCCCAGGCAGGCTGTGGATTCTGTCACTCTTGGATCCGCATGCCAGTTAATGTCCCAAACCTCAGACTCCTTCTCTGTAAGATGGATACATTCCTTACGGGCTGATTTGAAGGCTTGAAGGAGAGGTCGTAATTAAGAACTAATTAAGTGCCATGCCTGGCACCGAGTCAGAGCTGAGAAAATGGAAGCTTCGTTAATAGCTTTCATATTTGTTGGGCACTTCAGGTGATTTGCGATTTCTTCTATATGCCTGGGACACAGGAATAGGTAAGACACAGTCCTGCCTTAGGGCAGCTTTGCTGTGGTGAAAAGAGAAGCCCGCCACAGGTCGTGTCAGGAAGGCTGTTCCTGCGTCAGCCTCTCCTGGGCACCCCCACCACCCCTGCCCATCTGCTTGTGTCCTTTGCCAAGACCAAGAAAGTGCACCAAAATGGCTTAGAGTTACATCCTGGGTTGGAATGCTGACCATTTTCTTCTAGAAACATTGTTCTAGATACTCCTTGGATTTTGTAGTACTAACTATACTAATAATTCTTAACTAGGGGCACCTGGGTGACTCAGTCGGTTAAGCATCCAACTTCGGCTCATGTCAGGACCTTGTGGTTTGTGAGTTCAAGCCCCGCATCGGCCTCTGTGCTTGACAGCTCAGACGCTAGGGCCTGCTTCAGATTCTGGATCTCCCTCTTTCTTTGCCCCTCCCCCATGCGCTCTCTGTCTGTCTCTCAAAAATGAATAAATGTGAAAAAAATACTTTAAAAATAATAATTCTTAAAAGTTTTTTTTTTTTATGTTTGTGTATTTTTGAGAGAGAGACAGAGTGTGAGCAGGGGATGGGCATAGAGATTGGGAGACACAGAGTCTGAAGCAGGCTCTAGGCTCTGAGCCATCAGTACAGAGCCCAGTGCAGGACTTGAACTCAAGAACCGTGAGATCCTGACCTGAGCCAAAATTGGATGCATAACTGACTGAGCCACCCAGGCATCCCATAAAAATAATTTTTACCAAATAATGGACTCGAAGGACAATTTAGGTTCAGTTGGTTTTCAGAAGCTATCCTCTGAATTAATGTGAAAAACAGTGTTTCACTAGAAAAACACGTAAGTTTTATAAGCTCCTGTTACAAATAAGCTTTTGGGATAGAATCCATTTGCCAGCTGAACACCGCTTGTAAAACACTGGAGCTGAATTTTTTTATTACTGGAATAAAAATTCCCTTTCTTCTGGATCATAGTTTCTTTGCCTGAGTATGGATTTCTACGAAAAATTTTTGAGAATTCCTGTAAAAGAAAACGTTTAGTCCTTGAATGTTGTAAATTTCCCGAGGTTTTGGTGAGATGGGAAACAAGGTTCTCAGGAAGAAGTTCTTACTGGTCACATAGAGTGAAACCCCAAGGGATAGTCTTGCAGATAAAGTGGACTTTTCTGTTGAAACACATTTTTCAGTGTTTCATATTGCAAAACATGATTTGTATGTGTGTTTAATTAACTGATGTTGATGAACATTAATGTAAAAATATTTTATATTTCCAGGTACACCTACGACAAAAATTATGGCAATGCTCTGGAAATATACTTAACATTAAGACATAAAGATGTTTTCCAGTTGATCCACAAGCATAACCTTTTCAGTTCTATCAAGGATAAAATTGTTTTATTGATGGATTTTGATTCTGAGGTAATGCGTTTATTTTAATACCGATCAATTATTTTTACTCTTCTAAAGTTTTAATAATTGGACACCTGTTCAAATGCTGGAGAAGGTAATAAATCAGGTAGCTTGGATATATGTGATCATGTTTAGAACACTGATCCTCACTAGATGTTAAGCTATATATATATTTTTTTAATTTTATTTATTTTGAAAGAGAGAAAGAGTGTGTGCATGCGACCGGGAGGGGCAGAGAGAGAGAGGGAGGGAGAATCCCCAGCAGGCTCCATGCTGCCAGTGCAGAGCCTGTCATAGAGCTTGACCTCACGAACCCTGAGATCATGACCTGAGCTGAGATCAAGAGTCAGATGCTTAACTGACGAAGCCACCCAGACGCCCTGAGATGTTAAGCTATTTTAGTACTTGGGATTCAGGAATCCTTTGTTTGATGTGGTTATTCTGCAAAAGCAATCATAATCTGATGTGGAACTTAGAAAGGTGTGTGTGTGTGTGTGTGTGTGTGTGTGTGTGAGAAGTAATTGTGTAGTCAAACAATTCACATAATTCATAAAAACAGAAACTAGCCAATACACTTTGGCTTATTCACCTGTCTTAATTGTGTGTCCCAGAATTAAAATATTAGGTGAACCTCTGTTTTGACCCATTTATTGTGATTTTATTCATTTGGCATTCACAGATCTACCAGGTGGCGTTTTCACTGGGCTCAGACATGCAGGATGTGTTATTTTATTGCATGACAAATTTGAATCTACTGATTGCTTGACTCATGAGGGCACCCAACCCCCACAGCTCACAGTAGCATGTGTGTGTGTATAACATAGAAAGCTAATGACAAGTAACCATGCTGGACATAAAGAAGTTCATAAAACACAGTTCCTCATTCAGAAAATTGAAATTTTAGTTAAAGAGTAAAACCTGTAAGGCTCCAAAAGGGTTACATTGATTTTTCCATTTTATTTTATTCCATTAAAGGGTGTTCTGCCCTATGTTATGTATGTACGTGTGCATGTATATTATGTATATATTATGTGCTATAGTCTTCATAAACTTAAATAGAAGCTAAATCCACTTTTCCCCCCCCTTGAAAGATGCTTCTTAGCCCTTGTTTCATACTGGATGATTCAAGTCCTTAGGGACTGCCGATCTAAAAAGAATGTGTGCAGTTCTGAAGAAGTTCGGGGGCAGAGGTGGTGCTTTTCTGGCAGAAGATGATTAGGAGGATGAAGTGCTTATATAAAAATTAATTACATTCCCCTCTCGTCTGCTCTCCTCTTCTTCCCACCCCACCCCCACCGTGTGTCTCAGGAGCCGGGTTTGGCATGTGTAGCTGTAGGGAAAAAGGATGAACGAGCTGAGACTAATTGCTGTTCAAGAGTAGGAACCAAAGTTAAAGAATCAGAGTTTTCTAATTAGAAGATACCTTAAGGATAATCTCTAACATCATCACATTTTAGAAGGGAAACAAATGGAATGGGTAAGTAGGCAGCAGCGGGGTCAAGAGCAGGACCCGGTTATTATGTACGAACGGCGCTCCGTCTGGTGGTCTGTCTTCCCGCTCCCTGTTGTTACGGACACGGGCTCATGTGTGTTTCATGAATGTAAATAAATTCAGAAATAAATTTATTCGTGAATTCTGAAAGTCCATAAGCTTGGTATCTGTATGAGACTCCAAGTATCTAATTTTTTCCTGGCTCTTAGCTTTGTCTCCACAGAAGACTGCCCCTCACACCTGTGGAATCCATAGAGGGTGTCAGTGAGGGTGCAGGCGGCAGGAAGCGAAGCTTGTTTTTGTGGTCCTGGGAACAGTACGCCCTCGGTAGCTAGTGAGAGTCACAGGAGTGCCTGTGAGCCATGCCCGACAACACGGGGACTAGAATATGTGTAGACGAGACGTTTGGTGTTTGGGGGGTTGTAGCTGGAGTGTTTCCGTGGGGTGCAGAACAGCAGGCCTCCGACTGAGACACGTGTTAAAATATGTTCTTTTACACATACCTCCCTTAAGGGCTGTGACCACTCAAAGGGACCCTTGTGTGTGGGAAAGAAAGCCTCCCCCGTGAACTGTGATGGCGTGCGCAGTACGCTGTGTTCGGTGTTCTCTTACACAGCACAGGTCAATGACTGCGGCTACTTTTTTTTTTTTATTTCAGAAAGCCGTCGACATGCTTTTGGACAATGAAGATAAGATTTCAGTGAGTATCTGTTTTTGTGTGTGTTGCCAGATGAGAGTCTAGGAGCGCCCTAGCCCTAAGGAAGAGAGATGTTTGTCAGATGATCTCACAGCTGTGTTTGTGTCTTCCTGTAACTCCATGTTTAAAAAGTCCTTTTCTCTCTAGATTAAAAAGGTCGTAGAAGAATTAGAAGACAGACCAGAGTTGCAGCACGTGGTAAGCATGACCGTCTTCATTTGCCCTGTTGATTTCATAGTGGTCGAGCCACCTGTCAGTATCGGTGAAGGGTACCACCAGCCGTAATCTGCAATTAGTAAGCTCTGACTCCGGCTAGGGACTAATTACAGTTCGGGTACTTTGACTCCTAACTGCATTGTGATTTTAAGAAAAGTTTTCATATTCATGTTTGTATCACCAGACTGTCTAGGAGTAAGCACCTTGCTTCTGTAGTTAGCACCGAGGACAAGCCAAGCGAAAATTACCACAGCTCAGAAGGGGCCAAGAACAGAGCCTCACTTTTTCTGTCCCTCACCCTCATGCTAGCTCTTCTCTCTTCTCTCATTTGGCCTCAGGGGTAGTACTCTTAAGGCCTATTCTAGACTTCCTTGAGAGGCTACTTTGATTCCCAGAATGAGGCAGGAATGTATGTTTTCTATGTCCTTTAAAAATGATACAAGAAAAGGCTTCAGGGAAAGTAAGTGGGTCCAGTACACACACACACACCACACACACACACACACACACACACACACACACACCACACACACACACAAATGGAATACTACTTGGCAGTCAAAAAGAATGAAATCTTGTCATTTGCAACAACATGGATGAACTAGAATGTCTTCTGCTAAGCAAAATAAGTCAGAGAAAGACAAATATCATATGATTTCACTCATATGTGGAATTTAAGAAACACAAGATGAAATAGGGGAAGAGAAGAAAAAACAAAAACAGAGAGGGGCAAACCCATAAGAGACTCTTAAATACAGAGAACAGACTCAGGGTTGCTGGCGGGGTATTGTGGGGGGGGCTGAATGGACAAGGGGCATTAAGGAGGACACTTGTTGGCATGAGCACAGGGTTGTTACATGTAAGTGATGAATCACTAAATTCTACTTAATAATGGCTTCAGCCATTATTACACTATATGTTAGCCAACTTGGACTTAAATTTTTAAAAAAATCGATGGGGGCTCTTGGATCTTTGCTTCTTTGCACCCAAGAAGAGACTCGGGATGGAGTCTTTAACCAGAAGTCAATTTCATGCAAGAAGCTTTTGAAGACTCCATGGTGGGCATGTGAGGTACTTGGTTCTGTTTTGGTTCGGTCAGGGGTTGGGCAGGTGCTGTTGCTATAGTGTTCATGACCGGAAATCTCAAGATTGTCTGCTTCGGCAAGCGAGGCGCCACCATGCTGGCCACCTTGGGACTTGTTTATAAAGCAGTGATTTCTGGCCTGATTGAGGCTTGAGACAGGACTGCGGGGGGAGGTATCTGTGTGGTAGTGTCATTAGTGCAGTGGTGAAATGATGAGAGCTCCCATTAAAATGGCTCCCACCAAAATGGCTCCTCTTCCCCGTCAGGCAACATAAGGTCTCTGGAAATTGGCGTTGGCAGATGTGACAGAGCCTTCGCATCCTGTTTGCGCCGCTGGAGACCTGCGCCGCGTGTCCTGCTCACACGCTGACCCCAGTGCCAGGGGACAGGTGGGGCCGCCCTCAGACCACCGTGGAGCGCCAGCCGCTCCCTGCCCCCTTCTGGCCTTGGGGAGACATGCAGGGTTGCCCTGAGGAGCCGTTTCTCTGCGTGCATATGTCGTGCTTAGACTCGTTTAGTGTATGTCCAAATCCAGCTAACCTAGTTACAGTCACAGCTTCCAGGGCGAGCTGAAGCCCGTTTCTCACAAGCCAGTCCACTCAGGGTGGGAATGTACTTTATGTGACGGTGCCCTCGGGTCTGTCTGCCTGCAGTGGTAACCGGGTGCATGTGTACACCAAACACTTAAGTGTACATCGGGCATCGATTTCTAACTTCTGTGTAACGTGTTGACAGACTTCATCTTGCCTCTGAGTAGAAAGTGAAAGACTCACTTTCTTTGAGGTCCATTAACTTTTTCAGACCGCTTAGGGAAAGGAATCGGTGTGGAAAATTGGCTTAGGACACCTGTACTGCTCTTGAGTTTTAACCTTCGATGTCACCAGAAGAGGCAGCACGTCATTGCAGACACGGATCTCAACAAGACTTAGCAGATGCAGAATGTGTGAAAATTAATTTAGCACTTGTTGCTTGAGCTTCTAAGGACATACTCTTGTCCCGTGACTATACCCCTTTAATGTAGAAGACGAGAGTGTTTAGGATTTAGGAAGGCCATTAATCAAGCATTTTATTTCTGAGGCAAAGCGGACGATGGTAATGATATTAACAACTTCGTTAACCTTTCTCTAGTGCTTCCCATACGCCATCATGGACCTGAGTGTTTTACACAAGGCAGCTCATTCAGTCTTCCCAGCCACCCTGTGAGATTTTTGCAGATAAAGAGACTCAGTCACACAGAGGTTAGTGACTTGTTGAGGTCACATGGCTGGTTAAGTAGTTGAGCCAGGTTACTCAAGGCCATTCTAGAGAAAGTATCAGAATGTCCTTGCTCTTCTGAAGGTGTTCTTTCCACTTTTCCTCCTGAAAACTGCTTTTCCCCCAGGCTATTTAGAACTGAACACAGCAGTGGTAAACAAGTATTGCTTTTCTTATTTTTATATTCATGGTTTATTCTTTTGTTCTTTTTAGTATCTGCATAAGCTTTTCAAGAGAGACCATCATAAGGGGCAGCGCTACCATGAAAAGCAGATTAGCCTTTATGCTGAATATGATCGACCAAACTTACTTCCCTTTCTCCGAGATAGTACCCATTGCCCGCTTGAAAAGGTAAGTCACAGGGGCGCCTGGGTGGCTCAGTCGGTGAAAGCGTCCGACTCTTGGTTTTCAGCTGAGATGGTGATCTCGCAGTTTGTGAGTTCGAGCCCCATGTCGGACTCCACCCTGATTGCACAGGGCCTGCTTGGGATTCTCTCTTCTCTCTCACTGCCCCTACCCTACTCACGTGTGTTTTCTCCCTCTCTCTCTATCTCCCTCCCTCCCTCTCTCAATAAGTCAATAAATAAATAAACTTCAAAAAAAACAAAAAGACAAGGTAAGTTGCAGACTCGTCCCGTACACGTCAGGCGAAGCAGTTGTCCTTGTTGGTAAGCTGTTGATCCTTCTCGCCTTCCTGTCGCTCAGCCATCCCTGTCCATCCCTGTTGCTCTCGAAGCATTAGGTTTTGCGGGGGCATCCTGATGAGAATTGGAGGTCCTCTTGGCTCAGATTTGGATGAAGAGCTAAAGCATTTCTGTGCCGGGTTTAATTGGAATAAGGGTTTAATCCAGGGTCTAGGACTCAATCAACCACCAAGCAAAAATGGTAACACCGGGGTGACTGGCTGGCTCAGTCGGTTGAGCATCCAGGTTCAGCTCAGGTCACGATCTCATGTGGATTCAAGCCCCGTGTTGGGCTCTGTGCCGACACTTCAACGCCTGGTGCCTGCTTTGGGTTCTGTGTGTGTCTCTCCCTCTGTCCCTCCTCTGTTCACACCCTCTGTCTCTCTCTCAAAATAAATACATAAATATTTTTTTAAAATGGTATCAGGAGTCCGAGTCAGTTTACCAGGGTCAGAGTGGGGCCCCAGATCAGCCTAGGAAGGAGACCCAGGCTATCCCAAGACAGAAGCCGTTGTCCCAGACTCGACGTCAGTAACTTAGGTCCCGCACCCTGTCTGCTTTCCACATCTACATCGCTGCGTTTCTGTGTTTCTCCTTTACACTATATAACATTGTAGTTATAATAAATTACTAGTCTCTTTGCCACTATCCTGTACAATCTTTAAAGGACAAGGAGTTAGCATTTTTGGTAAACGCAGCAACCCGCACTCATTAGACATTTCCTAAATGTCTGTTGCGTCGGGAGTGAGCGAGTGAATAAATGAATGCATATGAACTAGTAAGTTTTATGAGCCTGCTATTTCAACACAGTGGATACTTAACCATATATGTACTAGCACCTGGGCCATCTAAGGCCAGCAGTGTCCCGTGGTTCTTCAGACTGTCTTGAATGCTAACATCTGACATACTTTCTGGAATGCAGTCGAACATACAGGTATCTACCTGAATTCAGATGGCCAGATAATAAGTACTTTTTAGTCAGCTGTATGTATCAACAAAATGAACACAAAAAAATGTATTTGACCCATAAGAGATCTATATTAAGTTGATTGAGGGGCACTTGGGTGGTTCAGTTGGTTAAGCATCCGGCTCTTGGTTTTGGCTCAGGTCATGATCTGATGGTTCGTGGGTTCAAGCCCTGCATTGGGCTTTGTGCTGACAGTGTGGCGGGGCTGCTTGGAGTCTCCCTGCCCCTCCCCCACTCACATGCTGTCTTTCTCTCTCTCTCTTTCCAAAATAAACGAAAACTTAAAGAAACTGATTGATAATAATGCACTTTATGTGCACTGACCACTTTTATAGTTGCTTCCCCAGCCATGTTGATAAATGTGTTGGATTTATTGTGAACCAATTTCAGCTCCATCGATTTTCAAAATCTGTACTTCATGAAAAAAATCCCTTGCCTGCCTATTAGTAGGTGAAAACTTTGAACCTTTTAAATTTGGGTCCTAAGACATTTTCCCAAGAAGAAATTTGGAAATCCATCATCTTGCTTTAAAAAATAAAAGCAGATGTTTCCGTCTTCTCGCCACAGAATCTGTAATCTAGGGAAGAAAGTGAGGCCCTTCCTCTTCCAACAGCGCCCTCTGTTCATATCTCACCTTCTGAGGACGTGATACTTGCTTCCAAGAAGACGGGGCTGACTCTGGCCGACTCCTTACACGGAGACCCAAACCCCTGATCGGCCACCACTGTGGGGGCCTCCTCATTCATAGAACTCGGGTGCGGGGGCGCCACTCACATCCCAAGATGTTTGCGTTTCTCACATTGTCAACTCATCTAGCGTTTTCCGGTACAGTAGTGTTCAACACAAGGCCCACTCTTCTCCCTAAAAGGAGAGCCTTAGAAAATTGCAGATCTACTCATGGCCCTTGCAATACGTAAAACTTGCTAAGAGCATCGTACAGAGCTTTTAGAATGTTTCTCTCTGATCCACTGAGAAGAGCTACTTGCGAGTAAATGAATTCAGCAGAAGCCAGTTATGTTTTAAGTAGTTTTTTTTTTTTTAAATTTATCTCATGTTTTCCACTGAAAGAGAATTGTGAATAAAATGAATTAGAGCTGGTTATGGTAGAAACATGCCATTAAAAATAATCAAGTCAATAATGTACCTTTTCAGAACTTTGTAGATGAGCTCTCATGTTACAGATCATTGAGACTTCTTCATAAGAGATTATCTTTCATCAGGACCCATTTTGTATATCCATCTGTATATTTGCACAAAAATACATCATTATCCTTGCCCAGGTACATAGTGCCATCCTAAAGAAGATATTCTTTAGTAACTCAGGAAGGATCTCATTCCTTTTTCCCTAGAAATGAGAACTTTATAAACATTTAATCATCTTAGAACTAATTCCTTAGATGTTTACTTATAACCTGAAAAAGAACTAATTCATTCTGTTTTTACTTATAACCTGAAAAAGCTAGCAATTTATAAAAAGCAAATTCACCTCCCATGAAATGCACGCCAAGCACGCTAACTGTGAAGTGAAGGTCATGATTCAGGTTCACCTGTTCTGTCTAAAGAGAGACTCAGAAAATTTGTACCATTTTCTATTAAATACAAAGTTAAGAACTTAATTTTTTTAATGCCCCCACCAAAGAAATCTTTGTTCCAGAAGAGTGTATAGATGTTTCGTTCTATAAATGCTTTGGTGGTATTTTGGTGCTTATTTTCATTTAAATGGGAAATGGTTAACGTTTCAAAGCTTTATTATTAAAAGCATGTTGACCCCCTCTTGTTGGTAATTCACTTCTGGCAGAACAGTTGTCTCTTTCCGGGTTATCCGCCTTTGTGGGGATTTGGGTAATTGTTGAGAGGTAAGGTGACTCCAAACGATGGCTGCTTGAAATCTCCAAGAATCCCGGTCAAACTTAAGTTTGTTTTGCTTGAAATCCCACAGGTGATAATATTTGGCCAAAGACTATAGACATTCAGACATCACATCAGCAGCTCTTTAAGTGGGATCCAGAGTTCAGGATTTAAAATCCCCACAACTCCTAAATTCTAAAACTAATCATTAGCCCTTATGAAACAGTTGTTCCTTCTAAAGAAGATACAGAGGTGGTAGGAATTTCTAACACTGGCAGCAATTTAAAAAGACCATAAAACTCGTTTATGTTTCCATTGTGCCTTATAACCTGTGCTGTGTTTTCATGTACCTTATTTTTATTTAATCTCTACAAAGGCACAGGTAGGTGGATAAAGTCATTTTATCCCCAACAAGCTGAGTCTTCAGGAATTGAAAGAAACAACCCAGAGTCTAGAGCTAATAAGTCAGAGGCCCAGACTTGGAAGTTGGATCTCTTAAGTTAGGCGCCCTCTACTCTTTCCACTATGGCCAGGAATCATTTCTCAGGTTTAGAACGTTAATTAAAATAGTAACAACGGTAATATTGATAATCCTTAGTATTCCAAGAATCATGAAAGATATCGGTTGTTTTTTTAATGTTTTTATTTATTCTTATTTTTTTTTAACAGTTGTTTATTTTTGAGAGAGAGAGACAGAATGTGAACAAGGGAGGGGCACAGAATCAGAGTCAGGCTCCAGGCTCTGAGCTGTCAGCACAGAACCTGGCACAGGGCACAAACTCACAAACTGTGAGATCATGGTCTGAGCCAAAGTCAGACACTTAGCCGACGTCGGAGCCACCCAGGCAACCCTGTTTTTATTTGCTTTTGAGAGACCAGAGACAGAGCAGAGTGGGGGAGGGGCAGAGAGAGAGAGAGGGAGACACAGAATCCGAAGCAGACTCCAGGCTCCAAGTTGTCAGCACAGAGCCCGACGCAGGGCTTGAACCCACAAAGACGAGATCATGACCTGAGCCGAAGTCAGACAATTAACTGACTGAGCTACCCAGGCACCCCAAAAGACATCAGGTTTTGTTTTTTTTTTTTTTAATTTTTTAATGTTTATTCATTTTCTGAGAGACAGAAACAGAGCACGAGCAGGGGAGGGACAGAGAGAGGGGGAGACATAGAATCCGAAGCAGGCTCCAGGCTCTGAGCTAGCTGTCAGCACAGAGCCAGATGCGGGGCTCAAACCCACAAACTGTGGGATCATGACCTGATCCCAAGTCAGTTGCTTAACTGACTAAGCCACCCAGGCGCCCCAAGACATCAGTTTTTAAACTAAATTATCAACTGGTATTAGTTTTCATTTCCAGATCACATTTGCTTATGCCTAGAATAGATAAAAGCAGAATATGAGCTGTGCAGCTTTAGAAATTTATACTTGAATTTAAGATCTCCCTCATATGTAATGGCATTTACAAGGTGGCAGTATTTATGAATTTGCAGAAATAAAGCTGAGAGATGCAACGATTATGGATTCCCATTAATGACCTTTAAAGAGAAGACTGGCTAAACAGTAGCAGGGTCAAGGCTGGGTGGAAGTTATTTCATTTATAGATGATAAAGTTTTTGTTAGTTATTCCCAAGTTTCTCACTCTGTTCCTTGCCTTTATACTAAATCAGGAAAAGGAAAACTAAAACATCTGCATCATTTTTTACTCCATTTCTGTCATTCTTCTTCTTCCTTTTATTTTTGCTCTGATTCTCCCTTTCCGTCTGTGTGTCTGTATCTTTGTTGGTCTCTGTGTCCATGTCTGTCTCCCTCCTATTTAGGCTTTAAAACTTCATTTCTCTACTCTTTCCTCTAGAGGGAGCCACTGTGGCCCCAAAACATTCAAGAATCTAGGGAAACATGGTTTTATCCACTGTCGATAATTGAAAAATTCTATGTACCAGAAATATCTTCTTTTTACAGTTTACTCAAAATTTGTAGAGATTTCTAGAGTCTCTGCCCTCTCATACATGAGAAAAGAATGATAATTTCAGATATTGTCAGAAACTAATCCTAAAACGTTTAAAAATCTGGAAAAACTCCGATTTCAGAGACTCAGATTATCTTTGAGCTTGGTGTTACACATCCGCTTGCATTCCAGACCGTTCTTCACTTCAGATTTGTCTTGAGACTCTTCTTCCCACATGACTTGTCATTTTTGAGTGATGTCTGAATACAGCAGCGCCACCCTGTGGAACGTTCCACGGTGATAAAAATGTGCTGCACCAGCCAGACAGCCGGGAGCCACGTGGCGTAGTCAGGTGGTCGAGAAGCATCTAGTGAGGAACTGAATTTTTAATTTGAATTTAAACAGCCACAGACAACAAGAGACTACTGTCTTAGCTCAGGTGAGGCTTCAAGCTATGAAGTCTGTGCGGTTTGAGACCAGCGTGTTCTTAAGTGCTCAAGAAAAGGAGAGATGGTTTTGTTGGAAACTTCTGGTACTTTAGTGTGAGCCAGTTTCGCGGTAGAAAACTGATGATAGATGCCTTTTGGTAATAAACTAAGCAGTATACTCGGAAGTCACGGTGTCTCCTTCTAACCATTCCACCTATCCGGTCTTACCACAGTTTCTTGTTGATCGGTGTGCAACATGGTCTCATCCAGCCATAAACTGTACAGCTCTTTGTTGCAGTGGTCCCAGGTCCTCTGGACTTCATGGTTTTTTTGGTTTTGGTTTGGTTTTTTACTGCTCCCTTTCACTAACTTCTCACATGTGTATCCTGTCTCTACTCTCACATCATCCCAGAAGGGTAAGGAATCCATAAGAAAGTTCCATTGTTGGTGATGATGATTCATTTTTGGACCTGACGGTATAGAGATAAAGTAGATCGGGTTTTTAATCAAAACAAATGAAGATTTTCTACGTGTTGGTTAGGATTGGGTTCAGCTATGAGCAGTCAGAATCCCAAAATAATAGTGGCTTCAACAGACTAGCAGTCGAGGTCTCTGTCACACAGAAGTCCAGGTGGCAGAGCCCGGTCGGTGGTGGCTGTCACGCGGTCTGTTCTCTGGGCCCCTCACCTTGTAAGACCTCGAACTGGAGGTATAAGAGAGTATCATTCATGTTTCCAGGAGACGATTGGGTGAAAGCACTAAAAATGAGAAAAGAAAGCATTGACTCGCATCGCTTCCTAATGTTTTTTGTTTGTTTTTTTTATTTCTAGGAGAGAGAGAGAGACAGCGTGAGCAGGGGAGGGTCAGAGAGAGAGGGAGTCACAGACTCTGAAACAGGCTCCAGGCTCTGAGCTGGCAGCCAGCACAGAGCCCGACGCGGGGCTCGAACCCACGAACCGCGAGATCATGACCTGAGCGAAAGTCGGACGCTTAACCGACTAAGCCACCCAGGCGCCCCTGACTCGCATTGCTTCTTAAAGAATATTATCAGAAGCTGCCATGCTGCCATCTCACCTCTGAGGGCAGTGTCAGTCACGCCGCTCTCCTGTGGCTAGGAAGGCTCGGAGACTGTTTTATAAATTCTAAACAGTGACACACCCACCTAAAATCTTATTACTACAGAAAATGGCTAAAGGATATTGGGGGGCAACTTGGCTATTTCTGCCACATAACTTAAAAAAAAATTTTTTTTTTTTTTTGAGAGAGACAGTGCAAGTCGGGGAGGGGCAGAGAGAGGGAGAGAGAATCCCCAGCAGGCTCCACCCTGTCAGCGCAGAGCCTGATGTGGGGCTCGGGCCCACGAAGCTGTAAGATCACGACCTGCGCGGAGATCAAGTATTGGACACTTAACCAACTGAGCCGCCCAGGCGCCCTGGCCACCAACTGCTAAAGGAACTTGCGGGCCGTCCAGTCAAGTGTTTCGTCTTCACTGTGGCCTTCCAGGCTTCACGTTTCCTCACTGAAATAATCTGTGTACCTCACACTCCTCCCTAATCTGTCATTCTAAAGCAAGGGTTGTTTTTCCTTTACTGTTTGGTACGAGGGGGGGGTCTCCTCCTGCCCCCCCGCACATCCATTTCTACCATCAGCATTTCCCCCTCCCTTTTAGCAGTGAATCTCCAACCAGAGACACATCTAAATCTATATTGTACACAAAAACCGGAAGCCAAAAATCTAAACTGCAAACCAGCGCCTACCGTCATTTTCCGTGATAGGCCATTAGCCCCACGAGCTGCTGAACTTAACGCTAGTCTTTCGATCGCCTTGTCCTTGTTTTTAAAACAACTGTGGGCGAGGGGTGCGGGGGGGGGTCGCGCCTGGGGGGCTCAGTCAGTCAGGCGCCCAGCTTCGGCTCAGGTCACGATCTCGCGGTCCGTGGGTTCGAGCCCCGCGTCGGGCTCTGTGCTGACAGCTCGGAGCCTGGAGCTGCTTCGGATTCCGTGCCTCCCTCTCTCTCTGCCCCTCCCCCGCTCACGCTCGCTCGCTCTCAGAAATTTTTTAAAAAAAAATTTTTTTAAACAGCCGGAGGCCGGATTTTAAATGACTGCCTTTGCCACCCAGTAATCCTGAAACCTTTTCTGCCCGCTCCATCTACTTGAAAAGGCACCCCGCGTCCCGCACACCCCCGGGAGCCGGGCACCGCGCGGGGCACAGGGCTGCCCGCGCCGCCTCGTGCGGGCCGCCCGGAGCTGGTCCTGGGAGCGGCCTGCGGTGCGGCCCGAGGAGCGCTTCCCCAGAAGCACTTGCGGGGCGTGGAGGGGCAGCGAGGGCGGCGTTCCGGGGCGAGCGGGCTGGGAGGCGCTGCCGCCCACACAGGCGGAGCGGACCCGGACCGTGGGCGTCTCGCAGCCCCAGCGACGCCTGGGCGGTCCGAGCGCGGCGGCACAGTGGGAGGGCCACGGACGGACGGACGGACGTAGGGGCCGTGGGAGAGGACGTGTCCGCCATCTTGCGCCCGTTGCCCCGCCCCCGCCCCCTGGTGCCCCGCCCCCCCGGAACCGGAGCCCGCGTACGTGTCTGTGCACACGGCCCTCCGTTCCTGCCGCCCCGGCCGTCGCCGTGTGCGGTGTGTCTCTGTGCGGCCCTCGCGCGGAGAGACCCCCGCGCGCCGCGTCCCTGGCGTCCTCTGGGTGTCTTTATTACCGTCCCCTCGCACCTCCCTCCGGGCGGGCCCTGCGGTGCGCAGCAGGCTGTGGTAAATGTGTGCCAGCCCATTCCACGGACTCAAGTCTGTGAACACCGTGTCTTTGTTTCCGACGCTCAAGGAAACGCGGTCACCTGTGGAGGCCCTCGTGCCTTTACGTGATGGCCTTTTAGGTCCGTCCTGATGGTCAGATCCGGTTTCTGCCCCGCTCCGCTACTGACGCGCGCCTGCGAGCGCTCGTCTGTAAGCCCGGGGAGGCGGCCGTGGGCGCAGCCGTCCGCGCGCGTTCGGGTGTCCGGACAGGGGACGTGGCCGCCCGGAAGAAACGCGGGGTCACATGGAGACCAAGCCCAGGGGAAAGCCCTTCTCCGCCCTTGCTGCTGGGACGTCCTGTGTCGGCTCGAATAGGTCACGGGTCAGGGGTGTCCAGCCCGGCTCCGGGCAGGCGAGGACGGCCACCAGCCAAACCTAACACCTGGGTTTCGTCCACTTTCTGTTTGTAAACGAGGGCGATGGAAAAATTCTCCGAAACGTGTATGTGTACGTGAACCTCTTAGTGTTGTTTCCTCCCTGATAACCAGGAGTAACGTGTACCCTGTTCTGTTGGAAGGCTCTAGAGATCTGTCAACAGAGGAACTTCGTAGAAGAGACCGTTTATCTTCTGAGTAAGTAGCTGTTGCCCCTGTGGCCCCGGTAAGCTGCAGAACGGCGTGACCGTGCCGTGTAAACTGTCTAAGAACGCACTTCACCTTTACACCAGAGTCACACAGAGCTTAGAGACTGTCCTCTGTAAGAAGTTAATGGGGGCGCCTGGGGGGCTCAGTCGGTTAAGTGTCCGACCTCAGCTCAGGTCAGGATCTCATAGTTTGCAGGTTCGAGCCCCGCGTCGGGCTCTGTGCTGACAGCTCAGAGCCTGGAGCCTGTTTCAGATTCTGTGTTTCCCTCTCTCTCTCTGACCCTCCCCAGCTCGCAGTCTGTCTCTATCAAAAATAAATAACATTAAAAAAAAAATTTAACATACAGAAAAGGAAAGATGGTTTGGCGAGTTTGTCTTTTTTTTTTTTTTTTTTTTTGTCAGCCTATTTTACTGTGATCTCAGCAGAAAATCATGTTCATTGTCAGTAATCACACTTTAAATGACCAGAGAAAATGCAATTGACTGTGGACGTTTTTGGAGAGAGGAAAACTGGTGTAATCTAGTTCTGAGTTGCCCCTGGGCCTCTCGCATGGACTCCGTATGTGTCATAGCTTTTGTACCAAAGCCGCAGAACTTAATGATCTTTCCCCTTCCTCCTAAATGAACCACTTTGCATAAAAGCAGGGTCGATTCCTGAATGCCTCCCAAGGAAGCTCTATGCGGACATTTGTGGCATAAGCACAGAATTCAGATATTAGGTGTTTCTCCAGCATCCCTTCCCAAAAGATCCTCCAGTGGGGTGGATTTTTGTCACAATGTCGAATTGTCCTAGGAGACAAGGAAGTAGAGAACTTACAAAGGGAGAGAGACATAATCTCTTTTTTTAAAGTTATCAAAACTTAAAAATCCTATACATATTTTTTTAATTAGCCATTTTTAAGACCTAAACAGCAGGAGTAATATTTGTAGGACAAAGATGCTGTAGAAGGAACAACAGATGGGGATGTCATTTTATTCCCAGGCCAGCTGTTCTCACCAGATAATGGCGGCTCAGAGCGAGGAGGATTTAAGACCCGGTACTCGTTCCTGCCACAGGGCAGGCGCTTGCCGTCCCTCCTCTGAGTAAAGCATTCTACATGTACCGTATTCAAGACTCATGCAAACTGTTAAGGCTGCTGAAATGCCAGTAGATCAGTGGGCAAAGTGTGTACAGATAATTAACCAAATAGAAGCATAGTTAGTGAATACTTTCATTTAACGAGGGCAGTTGGAAGGCTTTCACCGGAACTTGGAGGAGAAGGAAACGAGGTCGTTGATCGTTGAATTTGCGTTTGGCACAAAGTGTATCAAAAGAGCAAATCCAAAGCTACCTCAAGAGGCAGAATGACTCCAAGGCGTTTAAAAGTCTTAACTGTATCTGAAATGAATGTGTTGAAAAGAAATACGCGTCTGTTGGAGGGAAGTCGGAATCAGACAGACCGGGTCAGACTTCACCTCTGCCGCTCAGTAGCTGTATGATCTTGGCAAGTTATTGTTTCTGTGTCCTCGTCCATAAGATAGAAATATTACTGGAACATACCTGATAGGACAGTAGCTTTGGTGAAATGATGTAATTTATGTGAAACACTTAAATGAGTACTCAGCACCAAGGAAACACCCAGTAAAGAGGAGATTAATTATTTCACTATGTTATAAACAGTAAAGGCTAACGTCACATAAGAAAACATTAGCCTTCAAGACAAGAAGTACATAAGCAAGAGATAGGCTATTTCTTTAAAAACGTTTTATGAAAACATCCTAAATGAAGAATTTCTCACATCTTTGCTAGGCCGAATGGGCAATAGCCGAAGCGCCCTGAAGATGATTATGGAGGAACTGCATGATGTTGATAAAGCGATTGAATTCGCCAAGGAGCAAGATGACGGAGAGCTCTGGGAAGATCTGATTTTGTATTCCATCGACAAACCGCGTAAGCAGAAAAGTCCATGTGCGATCAGACCTTTTTTCTCGCTACAGCCAGTTACGTCCAGAGTAAGAATTATCTCAAGACCCATTGGGTGGAAAATAGGGAGAAGTGTCTGATAAAAACAGGCTAATGAGTACATCGTAAAGACTTCTGGTTCTCCTGTGTAGAGAAACCTGGAGCTTGTCACTTTGCATGACCTGAACGTGAAAAGGAACAGGTGGCTAACCTGATGATGTTCACTGTGTCCCCATGAACACATTATAACTCCGTAAATGTAATCTGGCTTAGTTTGTGTTTTTTCCAGTTTGTATACAGGTGCATTTATTTTGAAAAGGTCAAGCCCTTTTGGGCTTGTTTCTTTTTATGGGCCCCTAGAACTGTCAGTAGCCAGCGATGGTCTCTGGATGTCTGCTGTGACAGTACCTGGTCTCTGTCCCATAGCTCCAGGAGCACGAGTGTGCTGCCGTCACGGGATTGTCCGCCGCCAGGGCTCCCATTTCGGAAAGAAATACGAAGTCCCCCAAGAGTAACCCAAGCCCTCTTCTGAAGATCTGGAAATGATTCTGAAACTGGCAATAGTGGTTTAAGGTCCACCCCCTTCCCTTCCCTTCATTGTTTTAGTAAAAAGGCTTATCTCTTTCAGTGTTTTCAAGTTTTAGACACCACTCTCGGGATTGTCTGTCTATAGGAGATACGAGAGGATAATGTTATTCAAGTCCGTTTCCGATGCAGGTTGTCACATGCACGTGCATCTTTGAGAATCTAACTCAGCGTGAGAAAATCGTATTTACAGACCCGCAAGGAGGCGGGGTGGGCGATATGGAGCACATTGTGACCTGGCGCAGGAGTGAATTTGGGCTTTTAACTTGCTGGGTGTGTGGCCCTGGATGAATCAGTTAACCACCCCATTTCCCTTTTCTATAAAATGGGGCCAAACAACATTGCTACCTTGCAGAACACTGGAGAAAAGTATGGGAGAGCCGGGCCATGGTGTAAATGCTCGGTAAATGGGAGTTGCACCCCGTCAACACTGCAGGCTGTCTTCCGAAGCCCTCATCTCTTCTCCAGCCATTTTTGACTTGTGTGGCTTCTCCCTTATGTCATGAAGTAAAAGGAAAGTTAGTTTTTGACAGTTCAGAAATTCAATTGGTTTTAGCACTTTCTTTAAAGGAAATAATTTGGGGGGAGGGGCGCGCCTGGGTGGCTCAGTCGGTTAGGCGTCTAACCCTTGACTTCGGCTCAGGTCATGGTTCTCACAGTTTGTGAGGTCAAGCCTCACACTGGGCTCTGTGCTGACAGTGCAGAGCCCACTTGGGATTCTGACTCTGTCTCTGTCTCTCTGCCTCTTTGTATTTCTCTATCAAAATGAATAAAAATAAACTTAAGAAAAACATAAAGGAAATAATTTTTTATTTGAGTCACTTCTTGCCTAAAACTGCACTATGTACATTGCGTACGTGCTAATTACCGCCTGTGCTATTTTGCAGCATTTATTACTGGCTTGTTAAACAACATTGGCACGCATGTGGACCCAATCCTCCTGATTCATCGTATTAAGGAAGGAATGGAGATTCCCAATTTGAGAGATTCCTTGGTTAAAATTCTGCAAGACTACAATTTGCAAGTAAGTATCCTTTCTTGATCCTTCATACCAGCATGGAGGGTAAGTTGACTTGACTCCCGGATAAACATTTCTAGGATTATTTCCAGTATCTAAGAATTCATTTGGATAATTACATTTTCTTTCAGCCCAGATATGTATTTGGGAAACTCATGGAGTAGAGAGTCCTCCTTTAAGGAAGCCACAGAACTGTTTAAGCACTTCCAAATTTTCCCTCCTCGATAAGCAGGCACTCTTCCATTCAGGTGGTACATGGAGCGTGGCGTTTGGAAGGGAGAGGGGGGTCGTTCCCTCGCAGCCACTGAAACCAGTTTTGAGTAGAATGAGTATTGTGTCCCCTGGGGGGAACAAAAAACATGTTTTTCAGATAATTCTCTTATTCCCTTGAAGTTACTCAGTAACCCATTGCCTGAGAGGTGTTGAATATGTGATTTTGTTGAACCTTTTGTCTGCTTCCCAGAGTAGTACAACCTGGTTATCTGTAGTAATTCAGAACTTGATGATAAAAGCAGCGGAACGCCTTATTTTTCAAAAAAGTAATTAATATGCTAATTACAAAGCATCCTCACCTTTTCTTGTAAAGGACGCCTAACAATTACTATTTCCCGGGATGCCGGTAGCTTCCGCAGAGCTTGAAACCGTTGAAAGCACATTTCTTTAACAGTTTGGACTCTTCTTTCTCGACTTCGTTTGAAAACGAGTTTTTATTAGAAGAGGGGGGAAACTGCTTTCCTGGAAACACAAAGATTTCACAGGCAGAGCCAGAGGATGAGGTCGTGGGGAGAGAAGTGGTTAGGAGGTTAAGTAGGGAGGGGAGCACCATGATGGTGGGGGGGCTGTTCTGCGGCAAGCTTCGAGATCCAGAGGAGCCGGGAGGCTGCAGACAGCCCCGGGAGAGGTTTGGCAGAGAGCGTGGGCCGGGCAGGGGGCAGAGGGGACTGGCGATGGGTGGAGGGGCGAGCGCTGCGGGCGGTGGTCCGGGAGGGAACTGGGCTTTGGGGAGCGTGGTTTCGGCGTCCGACCTCCTGAAGCCCTGGGTGTGAGCGAGCCTGATGCTGATCTGTGTCCACAGGCTCCTCCCAGCCCCGGTGGGCCAGGATCTGCTCCAAGTTTCATGCCCAGATGTACTAAGAAGTCACTGAGGTGTGGTGGCCCTACGCACCTCTGCCCCCCGGAAGGTGACAAAACGGTCCTTCCTCTGTCCTCCAGCTTACAGGTGCATCGAGCTTAGACTCTAGGCTGGAAATGCGCCTTAGCTTTTTCCCAGCCTCTACAGCACCGACAGACGCACCTAATAAATCCCTCTTCCTAGGCTCTTAATCCAGAGAACCCGGCTCACGGGCCTCACTGGGTTTCACTTCTCATTCATGTTTTAAAACGAATAAATGTGCATAGCTCTGAGTCAGCCGGGAATAAAAATAAATTATTAGATGCAAAATGAATTCCGTATTAAAAAAATCATCCACTAAAACAGCTGTTCAATCAATACTTTATCCTCTTAATTATATTTTTAAGTGTACTGAGAGCTCTTCCTTAAGATGTGTACGTGTGCGGTTGGTGAGGTGTTGAGCGGGCTCCGAGTTACTTCATCAGTGGATCCCGTAAACCAGGGAGTGGCTGCTGGGCCGAGGGGAGGGAGCCCCGGGGAAGGTGGCAGAGCCCCCGGGAACTGCCCCAGGGTCTCCCCTAGAGCTCAGACAGCTCGTGATGGGTGCAGAGGAATCGCTGATCCTGGGCAGGTGGTTCAAACAATTCCAGGGGGCGCTCCCTCCTTGCATGTGAAGAAAGACTTGAGAAGGGTTTTCTATGCAAAAAGCCACTGTCTTTCCTTAACGGCCACTTATTTCCTTTCTCCAGGCAGCCTGCTAGAGATCACTGTAACAGTACTTAAGCCCGCTTCTCGATTACAGAGCATTTTGAAGTTTCCAGAAAAGTTTCACATACATATTTTTGACTCTAGTCTCGTTCATTTGTGCCATAAAAGTATATCGTTGATTTTTACATGTTGTCGCAGGATAGAAAATGACTAGTCCCGCTAATCTTCCAAACGGGGGGTAAATTGTGCAGATCCATGTATTTGTGCAGACCTGGAACCTTCTCTGTTGGAGGCAGGGCAGAGAGGGAAGGCCCCCGGCAGATAGAGCGAACCGTTCAGTAAGCATAAGGAGCCATGGTCAGATGTCAGGGACAGGGCTGCTCCGTGTTGGGAATCTCTCGGGGGCAGATTTACAGTAAAGTATGCAGCACTTTAAGGAAAGTCGGTTAAGCATCCGACTTCGGCTCAGGTCATGATCTCACTGTCTGTGGGTTCGAGCCCCGCATCAGGCTCTGTGCTGACAGCTCAGAGCCTGGAGCTGCTTCAGATTCTGTGTCTCCCTCTCTCTCTGACCCTCCTCTGCTCATGCTGTCTCTCTGTCTCTCAAAAATAAAGATTAAAAACACAAAATGTCTTTGGCTCCTGAGAGTGCTTTGGGAGATCACTCGTTAGCCAGTAGCTCTTTGGAGACAGAAGGCAGGAAAAGTTGTGAGAAAAATTTTAAGTATCTCTTCTGGTTTTAAAATTTTATGTTTTCTAAAACTCAGCAACTCTCCTCAACTGAAGTTCAGCACGAGGCACCTTAGCAGTCTGCGTCATCATTAAAGTGAAGGAAGATCTCCTTCAGCCGCGATGTTGGTGTTTACAGTTTTAAAATGTTTTTTATTATCATGTTTTCGTACCTTGTTACACAGTTCATATAATGACTCAACAAATTTTAAAAAGCTTCATGAAGTCTGTAAGGTAAAGGTAGCCTTGATTGTACTTCATGAACTTAAAACGTTCCTAGGCCTGATTTCAAAGACAAATAGCTATTGTGTTAATATAAACTTATTTGCAGAACAGTGTGGTATAAATGACATTTCAGTGTTTACATGAAACTGACAATAGTTTACAAGTTATTTTTATGCCATAGGCTTTTCATGTTTATACTTTATATTTTTAAAATATTAAAATTTTTTTAACGTTTATTCATTTTTTGAGAGACAGAGCGTGAGTGGGGGAGGGGCAGAGAGAGAGGGAGACACAGAATCTGAAGCAGCTCCAGGCTCTGAGCTGTCAGCACAGAGCCCGACGCGGGGCTCGAACCCACAGACAGTGAGATCATGACCTGAGCTGAAGTAGGACACTTAACCAACTGAGCCACCCGGGCGCCCCTAAACTATTTTTATTTCTAAATTCAGCATTTCTATCCCTTTCTGCTTGTATTTTTCCTGAAGAGTTCTAGCATTTCTGTTCCTGTGCTCTTACCTGACAGCCATTTCATCGCGGTCATTAGGCGCTACCACCTCCATGTCACAGCTGGGAAGACTCTCGAAGGTGGCGAACGGGCTTTGAGCCCAGATCCTCTGACTGCATCTTGGGTATTTCGTACTGGCCGGCTGGTGGCTCCGCTGGTCTCTGGGGACGCATTCGCGGTGCTGGCAGGTCACACAGAGGAACACCTGGGATTGACAGGCCGCCCGCTGTCTTGGGACAGCGGTGGACGTGATGTTTGCAGAGCTGGGCTCCGGCTCTGCCTTTCTCACCAGCAAGCCTTGGCCCTTTGGGAAGGTACCTGACCCTTCTGGATCTCAGCTTTCCCATTCGATTAAATCAATGTTGGCAAGCCTGGCTACACACCAGACTTACCTGATTTCTTTTAAAAATCACTTCGTCTCCGTAAAAAAAAAAAAAATCCAGATCTGCTGGATTAGACTCTGCTGGGGGGCCAAAGGCCTCTATCCTTAACCCACTTTGATGTTCCTTAACGCTAAGCCTGGCGCAAGTCTGTGCATTGACATTTGACATTTAGGAACCTGGAGATGAGATGATCTCTAAAGGATCTTCCGTCTCTCAAGTTCTTCAGGGAGTCATTACGCCGTTATGTCACCCCATATTTCTTGTTTCTCATCTCTCTGCTTTGAAACCCAGAGACCAACAATTAAGAGGAGATAGTGACTTCTTTCTTACCTGCCTTTTTTTTTTTTTTTTTTTCTAGGAGAGAGAGAGAGCGTGAGCAGGGGAGGGTCAGAGAGAGAGGGAGCCACAGACTGAAACAGGCTCCAGGCTCTGAGCTGGCAGTCAGCACAGAGCCCGACGCGGGGCCCGAACCCACGAACCGCGAGACCATGACCCAAGCGAAAGTCGGACGCCCAACCGACTAAGCCACCCAGGCGCCCCCTGCCTTTTTTTTTTTAATGTTTATTTTTGAGAAAGACAGACACAGAGTACGAGCAGGAGAGGGGCAGAGAGAGAGGGAGACATGGAATCCCCAAAGCGGGCTCTAGGGTCTGAGCTGTTAGCACAGAGCCCAACGCGGGTCTTAAACCCACGAACGGTGAGCTCACGACCTGAGCCAAAGTCAGATGCCTAACCTACTGAGCCGCCCAGGTGCCCCTTCTTACCTGTATTTTGGGGGGTTCAGATGGGTTTCTTCTTGTTCACAGTACATAAGCTCTTCATTTCTTCCAAGAGATAGTTTTTTAAATTTATAGATCTCTGAAATAAACTTTTAAAATAGATTTTTTTTTTCCTTTCAAATGATTTCCATTTGGCCTGATAGCAGCTTTTAAGGTGACATGGGTGACCTTTGACTACCAGCTGTAGCTTCTTTAATCAGTCTGGCACGTGTATACTTTGTGCCGTCGTAAATCAAATATGATTGTAATATTGTTTCTGAACTCCAGCATGAGACCTTAGAGGCTTTCTATTTTTTCCTTACTTCTCTGCATTTCATCATCTTTGATGATAATCCCAACAAAAAAGCAAAGCCTTTTCAATTAGAATTCAAATCCCCGTAGCATCATAACCTACCTGATGGATTAGAAATTAGGCAAAATGGTTTCCCCAGCTCGTTGCGGCATCGTACGGGGCTTATAAACCCAGGTAACTATCTGTCATTTGCAATTCTAACAGTAAACACTGCAGTATGAACCAGGCAATGTCAGCAGAAAGTCCAACACTCAAAGAATCTTTTAAAATAAAAATATCAGAAACTCGGCAATTTTTATGGCATTTTCCCCACAGCAGCTGTTTCTAATGAAGCATAATAACATCACTGATGTGCAATTCTTTTATTGCTTTATAAAATCTCTATGCGTCTGGTGCTTTGCACTGGGATGATCACTGATGCTGGACTGCAGAGAGCTCGGGAAAAAACAACTCTGCGGCCTCGTGTGGGTTTTCGACAGCGTCTTATAAACACATTTTTCTTTAAATTCACAGTAGAACAAGGTGTGCTTGTAACAAACCGAGTCTAGACCCTACAGCTGGCTGTCTCAAAAATGACGACGATGAAACAGTAAAGGAAATGCCAGACAGCTTAGCTCTGTGGAGGAAACAGTGTCGTGGTAAGAAAACGAGTCGTTGAGAACAGTGTGTGGGGAGAAAGACATAAGGAAAAGTCCCACAAGGAAAACGAATCTCTGAAAGGTCACGTACTTGCCAAGCAACAATGCCCACAGACCCTTTGTGAGATGAAAGCTTGATGCCGTTATGACGTTGAGGAAAAGAAAGACCAGTGGTTTACTTCCCTTGGTGAAATTCTAATACGAGCTGGAGATTCCAGTCTGAGATGCGGATACACAGAAGAATGAAAAGTGCCGTGACAACCGCAGTATTTCTAAGAACTGGAAGATACTACATCAAACTCAAAGGCGTTATTAGCAAGTCTCCTCTAAAACAAAGACAGAACTTTGCAACTTGATCCCTCATAGCCCTGGAGTGGAAACAGCCTCAGTGTCCATCAACAGGAGAGTATATCTCCAGATTGCTGCCTCTTGGCCACAAATCAGATGCTGTGTCTCCAGGCCTCACGTCCTCATTCTAGGCAGGAAGACATAGGAAGCAAAGAGCTCTTTCCTGATGAGGGTTTGCTCTTTTATTTGGGAAACGATGGCTTTCCCAGCCTCTGTGATCATCGCATTGGCCAGATCTGTGTTGCATGAATCCCAGCCAGCTGCATAGTAGACACTTGAGTGTATTTTATTCTACATGTTTGCTGTGTTTCATAATTTAAAATGGAAAGTAGCACAAAGTAATGGCAGACAATATGTTCAAAACGCGAGTGGCGTGAGTAACGTCCGGTTAGCAAGGCTGGAAAGGAGACCGTGGAAGGTCCGGGTCCACAGGTGGGAGCAGGCTGCGTGTCACGACCTTGGAAGATGGGAGTTGTCGGGAATCATGAAGATCAGAGAGGGTCGAAGAGAACGGAGTTTGACTCCGCCACCGATGTTTTAATAAAGGCATTCCTGGGAAATACCAGGTATCTGCTTGAAGCCAGTGACCACCACGGCCCAGTTCTCATGGGTCACTGATGGTGGCTACAGCAAAGAATCCACGGTCAGCCTAATGCCTTGTCATGTCTGGCACTGAAAATAGTACCTGTGTGATTCTACCGTGTTCTCGTATCGTCTTGACTCACCGCTCTGATTGCCCTAGAGCTCTACAGGCTTTTGGGGATCACTGGTTCTTTTGAGCAGATGGTAGCTGCATTTCTTGCTACCCCTGTCTGCCTGCTAAATGAGAATCCTGTAAACCATCTTTCTCTTCTTCTGCTTTGGAGCCTTGGATTTGGGGAAGATGAAGTAGAAAGTAACTTACTGTATTTGTGTGTTTTCTCTCCTCCTGGCTGAGTGCCTCTCAATACTGAAGTTTTCCCTAGAAAATATCTTGCTGTGGGCAGACGGATTGTACCGATCTGGAAAAATGTCATCCTGGTGAAAATACGGTTCCTTCTTAGTTTGCAGGGGTCTTTTTTTTTCCTGTTTTCTTTTTTAAATTTGCAGGCACCCTGGCTTCCGTCTGTACTGCCAGGTCTACCCTTCTTCCGGTATTATTCATGCAGGAGGCCCTCCACACCCACTCAGGGTCAGAGCCAGCTCGTTTTGAAACGTTGTACCGAAGATACTTTGACACTGTTTTTCTTAAGTTTTTATTCTGGTATTGGAGGCTGAGCAGCATTATATGTTTGCTTGTACATTTCTTAAAGTTACTGACACCAGTAATTTTTTTAAGTTTATTTTTGAGAGAGTTGGAGAAAGAGAGCGAGCATGGAAGGGGAAGAGGAAGAGGGAGAGAGAATCCCAAGCAGGCTCTGCTCCGTCAGCGTGGAGCCTGATGTGGGGCTCGAACAAACCGTGAGAGCATGACCCGAGTCGAAGTCAGATGTTTAACCCACTGAGCCACCTGGGCACCCTTGACATCAGTATTTATTAGGTCTCTTTCTTACTATAGTTTTCTCTTCTTGTGTGCTTTAATGATACCCATTAAAGTTTTAATGTCTTCTTCCAGTGAATCAAAAATGCAATTTTTAGTAGCATTTGAAAGAAGAAAACGTCATAGGCAGTGTCTCGATTAATGCAGAAATAGTAGAGCTTTATTTCCTGCTCATCCATACCAGAAACGGCAGGTATAGAACTTTGGCCTGGACATCAGCTCTGTTTTCTGGAGTATCGGCTTTTGTACGACTGGGGAGAAAACCCTTGGGCTGCATTCGCCCACAGCCCGTGCTGTCCAGGGTTTCAGAGAAGCGTGTATTAGTGTAGACCCCGGGGATGGCAGAGCCCAGGGGGCCTGGTGGCATGAATTGAAAACCTGAAAGCAAGACCCGTGTGTAGGTTCCTGAGGTGGGCGCGACCTCAGTATGAAGAAGGGCGGGACGCACCTCCGAGGGCAGCATTCGCCGCGACCCGGAGCTGGACCACAGGGAGGCGGGGATGCCACCATTCTGTGAATTTCCAGGGTGGTTACATCTGAGCGCACAGAAGCGTGCAGGAAGACCCATCGAGCCAGAAGAGCGAGCCGCAGACACTGCCACAGAGAGCCTCTCTGCCCTTCAGGCCCTGAGTGTCCCCCTCTAAGAAAAGCAACACATTCTGGTTCAAAAAATAAAAAAAGGCACCTGGCATAAGCACACCTCCTACAGCCTCTCCCAACAAACAACAAAACAGAAAACCCAAAACAGGCTGGAAACTCTAACCGAGGCCCATGGAACGGGGCGGAAGGTGGGGCGGGTCACATCGCTGTGCTGTGCCCAAGCAGGTGCGCACCGTCTCCATCCCGCCCTGGCTCCGAAACACAAGGTGGGCGCCACCCGGCAGCCCGCGTCGTGTGTGTCCTGACTCGTGACGCTGCTGCGGGGCCCCCGCCTCCGCTCGTCCAGGCAGCAGGCGAGAAAATATGTCCCCTACGGAACAGCAGGGAAAAGGCATACAGAAAAAGCGCGGTACTGGGACGCAGAAAATGGGTCTCGTAACAGAGCGTGAACATCGGTGGTCGTTCTCAGTTGGCCGCCCCTGAGAGTCACCAAATTGGAGGGTGAGCAGAGACACGAGACTCTTGGCGCCGCGCTGAACAGTGGGGCGGGAAGAAGGGGACTGCGGCCAGCAGGGGGTCAGGACAGAGGTCGTGTCTGCTTGCTCGCTCTGTGCCCTGCTCCTTGTCCGTGATACGGACCCCGTAGAGATTAGTGCAGCAGAGAGACAGATTTGTGACATGGAGGATTCTGGAATAGCAGATTTCCACCCTGGACCGAGCAGGTCACGTGGGGCCAGACTGCCGGGCGGAGTCCGGGCTGGGAAGCCCTGTGAGACAGCGGCGGGGCCGTCACAGCCTTCCTTGCTGTATGGAGTTTCACGGCGCTGCAGCAGCTACCGTCTGCTGAGTGCAGTTGTGACTGAACGGAGGCCGGAAGGGGGGGGCGCGCCAGGGCCCGGCAAGCAGGGAGTGCCTCACTGTGCAACTTCAGACACTGGTTTTCTGAATCCCCAGTAAGAGGCTTCACCCCCATAGCTGAGTCTTCTAAAGACGGCTTTTTTTTTTCTTTTTTTAAAACAACAAATGCATTAGATCCTGCTTCGTGAAGGCTGCAAGAAGATTCTCGTAGCCGACTCTTTGTCTTTACTGAAGAAAATGCACCGGACTCAAATGAAAGGCGTCCTGGTGGATGGTGGGTAACATTAAAATAATCCTATTAGAACCATAGGCCTTGCTTTCAGAAGAGACAGAGCAAAGGGAAAGACTGTCTAATCCCAATGTATGTATGTTTCCTTGCAGAGGAAAACATCTGTGAGTCGTGCCTTTCCCCTATTCTTCCTTCAGGTAAGATGGTTGATGGGATCCTCCAAATATGTGTTCATGAGGCGTGGAATTAAAAAAATATTTTTTTAATTTTTAATGTTTATTTTTGAAGGAGAGAGAGAAAGAATGTGAGCAGGGGAGGGTCAGAGAGAGAAGGAGACACAGAACCCAGGGCAGGTTCCAGGCTCTGAGCTGTCAGCACAGAGCCCGACGCGGGGCTCGAACTCACAGTGAGATCGTGACCTGAGCCGAAGTCGGACGCTTAACCACTGAGCCACCCAGGTGCTCCAGAATGAAAATTTGGATGTTAGCGCATCTATAACTTCTGGAATAATCCGTGTAGGAAAGAATTTCAGCCCACAACCCTACTCAGTTGCAGGCTGGTGCCACCGTTCTGTAAAGCTGAGGTGCCCGCCCTAGAGTGCATCCGTGTTACCGGGAAGGCTCGGGAAAGCCCGGAGCGCTGGTCCCACCCCAGTGCGGAGGCAGTAGCTCTAGGGCAGGACCCAAGGATTTGCACTTGCAACACATTCCCGGGTGACGTAGATCTTTCTTCAGGGGCCATTCCTTGAGAATCATGGCTTTAGAGTAGAATAAAATGGAAAAACCACCATCAACGTGTTTAAATTGCAAAGGAGAAGAATCGTGTGTATCTAGGAAAAAAATTGTACACCCCCAGAAAAAAATTGTACTTTTCTTTTAACTTTTCCCTTGCCCTGTGGTTGCAGGCACCTAAATTATCCCCCATTGCGATGGAAACCTACTACTTGCCACCTCATCAGAATATAAGCACGTGTTTCTTTATAGTTGGTAGATACGTATATCATCGTGTATGATGGGAGCGCCTTACGTAAGGCTAGAACAGAAGAGGAAACTCCAGAGTTTGAACATAGAAATGAAAGCATAGCTGTCGGGATGCAAAGAAGTGCTTTTGATACAAATTCAGCACAGAGAAGTACTGAGAGAGATTGAGAGAGAGCGAGCGAGCGCTAGCTGATGCAGGCTTTACTTAGCTTTAAGGGATAAAGGACCAGGAACGTGAAAAGTCTGTTCCACCCAGGGTCTTTTCTAGAGGAAATGGGTTTGAAGTGTTCATGTTAAAAACCACAATGGGCACAGGAAAAATGAGCTTTACACAGTGCAAGGTCACAGCCCAGGATTCTCACCCTGCTCCGCCCTCAAGTCCCTGAATGGCCCTGGCCAACCCGTAGGTGAACTGGAAGCACTTTTCTAAAGTCACGGAATGGACTGGAGGACACGGTGTATGTAGTGTGTGTGAGGGCCTGGGGAACGGAAGAGGGCGTGTGCAGACCCGTCCTAATCTCAGTCTGAGAGAGACACAGAGAGAATGAGTGCGGGAGGGGCAGAGAGAACCCCAGGCAGGCTCCGTGCTGTCAGCGCAGAACCCGATGCGATGCTCCATCTCACACACCATGAGATCGTGACCTGAGCTGAAATCCAGAGTCGGACACGTAACCGACAGCCCTCCAGTTTCCCCCCTCTACCCTCGCTCCTGGTTTTAAAATACACGAGGTAGAGCCGTCGCTGGGAAGTGGTCCCCCGCTTGCGCTCGTAATGGGCATGGAGGACAGCCACCCGTGACTCCGAGCAGCTCGGAGGCAGTGTCCGCGGTGCGTGGCTCCCACCACCCCTCGGGGCGCCTCCGCGACCGTGTCCTCCTGCGGTAGCTTATTGCTGGGACATTGAACCACAGCTGGACTTTCAGTCAGGATCGGTTCAGAAAGTTCCGGACCTGCCTGCTTCATTGGGTTCTCTCTCTTCTGCCCTCTGCCCCCAGACGCCGCCAAGCCCTTCAGCGTGGTGGCCTTCCACTGCCGGCACATGTTCCACAAAGAGTGCCTGCCCGCGCCCAGCGTGGTGAGTAGGGAGTCGCGCGTGTCCCGCGTCCTGCGGCCTCTCTGGCTCGTGCTAGATCCCCGAAGAAAATGACTTGACTTCCCACGTGTAACAATGCTTAGTGCCCTACACCGTAGCGCCCCCTTCTCCCCGGTCCCCCCGGCCCCCCGGGGTCTGGAAGCAGACGAAGGGCCAGAAGGTCAGCAGGGGCCCAACACTGGACCCGGGGTCATTCATCACTTCACCTCCTCACGGGGGCGTTCTCTCCTCCTCGTGAGGAGCGGGTGCAGCACGAGGTAAACCGCACTCTCGTAACTTTCATTACAGTAGGTTCTTAAAATCGTCTGTTTACTAGTTACTAATCGCATGTGCCCAGTCTGTCCCAGGTAGGGATGTAGAGCAAAAACAGTATGGTTAGGGCTGGGTACTGTCTACACTTTCAGGGACCCCCCCCCCCCAGGGGGTTTGAGACGTAACCCCGTGGACAGAAGGGGATTACTGTGCTAAATGTTATAAAACCGAGTGAATTCACGTAGGGGAGACTGAGGATGGTCAAGCCCTCCAGAGATGGGGTACAATGAGAGCCATTTTCTAGTGTAACTTTTCAACCCGATTTCCGCATCGGGACTCTGTTTTTAGTATCATTAAGTCGTGTTCCCCCCGGTCACATTAGACTTGTGTTGCTGTGGGGGATTCTTTGAGTCTCAAGAGTGACAGCTGGTGTAGACAGAACCCTCTGTGAACCAGCAAAAGTCTCCAGGAAAAGGAGGGACATTTCCTAGCTTCCTCCCCACCCCCGACCGATGTTCACGTGAGATTTCTGAATAGGAGACTAGGAAGTTTTTCTTTAATTTTTTTTATGTTTATATTTGTCGGGGAGGGGCAGAGAGGGGGACACAGACGCCCAAGCAGGCTCCAGGCTCTGAGCTGGCGGCACAGAGCCTGATGTAGGTCTTGGACTCACGAACGGCGAGGTCACGACCTGAGCCGACCTCAGTCAGATGCTTAACCAACCGACTGAGCCCCCCGCGTGCCTCGGAGGAGCTCCTTTGCTAAAACCCGTGTCCTGTAATCACGTTTTTAGAGCTCGCCCGCACAGTTCTGCAACATCTGCAGAGCCAAGCACCGCGGCCCCGGAAGTGCCATCTTGGAGATGAAGAAATAGCCTGGCCCCTCCTCCCCGCGCTCTGAGACGGTGTCTGCAGCAGGGGCGGCGTTCGTGGACACCAGCGCTGTTCAGGGTTGTGCGTGTTCATGGTGTGTGGCCCTGGGCCCGCCTGCTCGAGGCTTCTCTCTGCAGGTGCGGAAGCTGGGATTTTCCCCATTCCTGGCTGGGTTTGCTTTTCAGGACCAGAAAGAAGTGTGAGAGTTGGAAATGAATTTCTAGGTCCCAGCGGGACTGCGTGGCCAGCGCCGGGCAGCTGTTGCCACGGGCTCTGCTGACCAGCCCTCACCGGCTGGGGCGGCGCTTCGTGTGTGTCAGCCGCTGTGCTTATCTTATCAGTAGGCGTTTACTGAAACACTGTGTAAATCGTCACTTAGCCCGCGCAGCTGGGAGGAGTCCCACGAGCAGCCGGCATCCTGCTGTTTCACGTTGACGCACCGCGCCTTCTGTGTCCTGATGACCAGCGGGGTCTGGCCCTGCAGGCACTCTGTGTTTGTTGACTGAATAAATGTTCGCTCTTGCCACTGTGAAAGGCTCCCTGGTAGCGAATTCTGGCGCCCTAAGAACAGAGGAGAGTCTCCCCGCCTCAGAGCGGGCGGGGTCGTGGTGGGGTCCTGCCCGCCCGGAGGCCGAGAGGGAGGCTCCCGGGAAACGAGACCCTCAGAGGCGGAGCGGCCTGGGCTGGAGCCTTGTGAGCCCCCGTGGAACGCAGAGCGGAGGAGGCAGGGACAGAACTCCAGCCTGTGACGGGTCTGCGTCCTGGGAGAGGCTGCCGACCTCCTGCCAGGGGTGCGGCGTGAGGGCGCTCGGAAGCGACTCTCCCGTGCCACATCCGTGTCCGCGGCCCCAGGCCACACTGCCTGCAGGAGCCACCACACCAACCCACCGTTAGATTCCTGACCCTCAGAAACGGAGATCGTGAACATCGGTTGGTTTTATAAAGTGGCTACATTTGGGGGGAGTTCGTTGTGCGGTGCGAGACAGCTGATGCAGCAAGCGCTTACCCATCATTAGCTCGCATTTTTCCAAAATTAACCTCGGTTTCTGCTGCTTGACCACAAACACGGGACATTGGCAGCTACTAAAACCACCAAATGCAAAATTCTGGTGGACTGTCAGTCCGGGTCACAGGAAGCAGCCTCCATGCCGCACACGAGAGCCCTTTGTTGGGGACATTTTTTAGCAGAGGTCCTGACAAAGTGGAGAGGACAGAATTTGAAATCCTACCACTTAAGAAACAAGCAAAGGAAACGGATCGCACGTTGCCTCAAAGACCCAAAATCTGAGGGGTTTGCAAGGTTTAGAAGTAGGTCACACAAAGGGGAAAGAGAAGCTCTGTTGCCGTTGCTTTAGGAGCCCAAGTGCTGAGGTTAAAGTTACATCAAGAAAGGTGCAGGCCCCTGGGCGGCTCAGTCAGCTGGGTGTCCAGATCTCGATTGCAGCTCAGGTCATGATCCCAGGGTCACGAGATCGAGCCCCATGTGAGGCTCTGCACGGAGTTTTGAGCCTGCTCAAGACTCTCTGTCTCTCCCCCTCTCCCCCACTCCCTCCCTCCAACAATTACAACAACCTATTGGGGCAACTAGGTGGCTCAGTTGGTTAAGTGTCCAACTCTTGGTTTCACCTCAGGTCACAATCACGTGGGTTCAAGCCCCACGCTGGGCTCCACACTGGCAGCACAGAGCCTGCTTGGGATTCTCTCTCCCTCTCCCCCCACCCCCACTCGTGCGGTCTCTGTCCCTCAAAATAAATTTTTTTTAAAAAGACCAGGAATTATGTTTAAAAAAAAAAGTGTTGGGTGCCTGGGTGGCTCGGTCAGATAAGCATCTAACTTTGGCTTAGGTCACGAACTCCCTGTTGGTGAGTTCGAGCCCCATGCCGGGCTCTGGCGGACAGCTCAGAGCCTGGAGCCTGCTTCCGGTTCTGTGTGTGTGTCTCTCTCTCTGCCCCTTTGCCACTTGTGCTCTCTCTCTCTCAAAAATAATAAACGTTAATTTAAAAAAAAAAGTGTAAATTCGAGAACTTTCTAGCCTCTCAGGTGTCTAGCAACAGAGGAGCGTGCCCCCTTGGAGGCCACTGCCTGGAGGCGGGACAGGTTCTAGCCAAGGCAGGTGACCGCCAGTCAGACCCGTGGCCTCGCCTCTGGGCTGCCGGTTACAGTAGCCGATTCTAAGCCCCCGTCCACTCTAAGCATCTCCAAATCCCTCTAGAAACAGCACATTTAATCGGTTGCTCTCACGCTCTGTTATTTTTATACTCAGATCCAATGCCCATCTGTCGTGCGTCTGAATGCCCACGTCCTTGGCTGGCTCATTAATTCGGTGTCACTACAGGGTCCTCACTCCCACCCTCCCTGCCGGGCAGGACCCACTTGTCTCTCCCATCTGACCACACTGCAGCCTCCTTTCATTTTTTGCCAGATTCACGTACATCCTTTGGCTTATAATCATGCCAGTTCTTGTAGAACTGCCAGTGTTACTTACGTGTTTGGGTTTTTTCCCCTCAAAAGGAGAAGGAGCACGGCGTTCCCAAGTGTGTTATGGGCCAGGCGTGTCCCCTACAAGTTCTGGGCTGGAAGTTCCACCCGCAGGACCTCAGGATAGGACCAGACTCGGCAAGAGGCCTTTGAAGAGGTAACGAAGGAAGAGCGGAGTCCTGTGGGCGGCCCTAATCCAAGGTGACTCGCATCCTCAGAAGAGGACGAAGTTTGGACACAGCCACGTGCACACACTCAGAGGAACGGCCACGTAGGGTCCAGCGGGAGGGCGGCCATCTGAGCTAAAGGAGAGGCCTCAGGACACCAAACCTGCTGACCCCATGGCCTCGGACCCCTCGCTCCAGAACCGCGAAGAGACCCTGCCGTGGGGCAAGCCCGCCAGCCCGCGGTATTGTGCTCGGCGGCCCCAGCCAACAGATGCAGTGTAGTGATTCCTCGGGTCACGAGGGGCTGGCCTCCGCACTGGACACTGCTGCCCTCTGCCCGGGGGGCTCTGCCTGCACGTCTCAAACAGCAGGCACCCCCCACCCAAGCCCACTCTCATGCTGGGGCGCTTTTCAAGGTCACAGGGCTTTCTCCCGTCTCCATGGTTACTTACCATGATTGTGCTTCCCCTCTGACTGCTTGGCGCTAGGCTTCTCCACCAAAACGTATAGATGAAAGTACAGCAGGAATCGTCTACATAAACAGCGCAGGGGCACCTGGGCAGCTCAGGCGGTTCAGCATCCGACTCCTGACATCGGCTCAGGCCACGATCTCGCGGTGTGTGAGTTCGCGCCCCACACTGGGCTCTCTGCTGACAGTGTGGAGCCTGCTTAGGCTTCTATCTCCCTTTCTCTCTGCCCCTCCGCTTGCTCTCTATCTAGCTCTCAAAATTAAAAAATTAAAAAAAATTTAATATAGTGTGTAAAAGGACATAACATAAATTTTGAATTCCAATAATCTAGAAGAGGTGCTTTCAAGCACTTAATGAAGTATTTGCTGATGATATTACCTTAATTTGAAGTTCATTTTAATACGGGTAGCTGCTTTTAAGATTTTTTTTTTTAGCTTCAATTTTGAAAAAGGCTTGTACTAAGATTTAGGTTCACGATACATACTTTTACCCCCTCCAAACGTTAACATACCTGCATTAGTCACAACCCTAAGCTCAGTCAACATGGAGAATTTAGTGGCACCCGGGTGGCTCCGTCACTTACATGTCCAACTTCGGATCCGGTCAGGATCTCACAGCTGGTGAGCCCCGCGTCGGGCTCTGTGCCGACAGCTCGGAGCCGGGAGCTGCTTCAGATTCTGTGTCTCCCTCTCTCTCTGACCCTCCCTCCGCTTGTGCTCTGTCTCCCTGTCTCTCAAAAATAAACATTTTTTAAAAATGGAGACTTTAGTGTAAGGGTCATGGAATTAGAAGAAGGCCGGCGTCGTGCCTGGGCTGCAGGCACTGTGGTGAGGCCAGTCTGAAGAGAAGACCCTCCTGCAGCCCGAGGACACAAGGTGGACTCCCCGAAGGAGGTGGCACCCACCATCGACCCCCCTTGCACAATCCAGAGAAACAGACCGACGCGCCTGGCTGTGAGTCCGGGCAGCCCACCAGGATGTGAGCCAGCACTTGGCGCTGCCTTCTCACATTCTGCTTTTCTTGGTTGTGAGTCGTGTCCGCTGAAGAGCGAGGGGCGGGGGGACGGCTCTCCGTGAGCGAGGATAGCATCTGGGCTCGACTTCTTAATACTGGAGGAGGACGTGGCGGCAGGTAGGAAGTGACTGTCCCCAGATGCCTCCTCGCTAATTCCTGCGCCTCCTTCCACTTAAACAGCCCTTCCCCTGCGTGGCGGTGCCCGTCTCCGGGGACGGCTCGCTTCCCTAGTACGTGCCTCCAGGGCAACCTGGGCTTCTCCAAAGACTTGTGAACTCTTGGAGTTAATCACCCACTTGATTCCCATTAGACTGTTAGTCCCCAGAGAGCAAGGGCTGCCCTCTTTATTCTAGGTCTATCCTCAGTGCCTACTTAAGTGGGCTTGATATGAAAGACACCCAACGGGGCACCTTGGGTGGCTCAGTTGGTTAAGCGTCCGACTTCAGCTCAGGTCATGATCTCATGGTCTATGAATTCAAACCCCACATCAGGCTCCGTGCTGACAGCTCAGAGCCTGGTACCTGCTTCGGATTCTGTGTCTCCCCCTCTCTCTGACCCTCCCCCGCTCATGCTCTGTCTCTCTCAAAAATAAATGAACGTTTAAAAAAAATGAAAGAAGCTCAACTATGTCTGCTGACAAGTGAGGAAACAGAGTTGACTCTATCAACTCCACTCTGCTCAGCCCAAATCCAGGAGCTGAAGGCAACGCAGCCGAGGACGCATGAGCCCCTAGCATGTAGAAGACTAATCCCGGGCCGGTCTTCACTCATCTCCCTGTCTGCCCTGCTCAAGTGGTCAAGTATAGCGCTGTTGCCATTGTGGTTTTGAGATAGTGCAGAGAAATCGGGCGTGATCCCTTCTGTGCCATGGAGAGGTTACAGCAGAAAACGGAGGTGCAGGAGGAAGAAGAGGAAGGTGGAGAAGGAAGCTAGGAGAAAAGAACATTGCTCTTAGAACTGGGAGGTCGAAGAGATCGATAGCCTACAATGAAGGGAACAGCATTTCATGAGCTGGGACTCCTGGATGATGGAGCAGTAATGATAAGGGGCTGTCACATTCCTCAAAAGTGAGCCATTTTCTAGAACCTCTGGCTTTTCAAAGTCCAAATAAGTCAGAATTTGGCTCTCCCCTTTCTTTTTAAAAAATATTTTAATGCTTATTTATTTTTGAGAGAGACAGACAGAACATGAGCGGGACAGGGGCAGAGAGAGAGGGAGACACAGGATCCGAAGCAGTTCCAGGCTCTGAGCTGTCAGCACAGAGCCCGATGCAGGACTCGAACTCCTAAACTGCAAGATCATGACCTGAGCTGAAGTCAGATGCTTAACCAACTGAGCCACCCGGGCGCCCCCTGCCTCTCCCCTTTCTGTGTTCAGCAGTCATCTTGTATGTGTCTCTGGCACAG